AGGGCACTTTGGATGAGAAAGACAAGAAGAAGATAGTAGAAAAGACGCGAGGCAAGGCTCCTTTTTATTCCTCTTACAAGCCATTGGAATATACAGATTTAACTTATTTTATTTGAATCAAATACTACTTTTTAAATGATCCATATAACCATGCTCCAGTATGGCCTGAAATAACATAATCTATACCGTTGCAGACAATGATAACATCCTTCTCTTACATCAATTTGCTTCGACTTATAACATATTATTTTTGAATTTCCACACAGTATTTCTCATAATATTCATACCAACCCCCAAACCTCTTTGTTTACAATGAATGTCTTACATCATCTATAGTTAAAATAAAAATATTTGACAAGAACAATACATCCTTTTAAAAACTGTATGGGGAAATGATTAAAATTCATATACGAAGAATATAGTATAAGCGGATATAAAATGATGCAATGAGGATTAGCTCATTCCTTTGATCATGTACATAATTTTAATATAAAAGAGACATGCCTAGATTTGCCTTTTGGTTTCTTTCAATTGGTTCATCATTGGGTATGCTTTTTGCCATTCCAAACAACTATCTCCTCAGGTTCTACGATTCATAATATGGAAGATTGCCACTTTGATATATATTTAGTTGATTGTGAGGTAAAAACTTTTCCACAACAATGCAATGATAAACCTTGTAAAATGACTAAGACCAAATCTCTGATGCGTTGTAGTTTTATACCAGCCTAATAAAAGACCAAAAGCATAACAAAAATGGACTATACATACGATTTAAAATAATAAAGATGCAATCTAAAGGGCCAATCATAGATTAATAAGAAGTTAACCTCGGTTTAACAAATAATCCATAATGTAGAGCAAGCAATTCATGCTGACCTATTCGGATAAAGCTTTTTAAATAACGTGAATCAAGATTAATGCAAATACACGCACTCATGGCTTTACTTCAATATTTGTTGTATATTTTCTAATATTTCATAGAAGACACAAGACTGTTATAAATATGGCCAAAAATTTAATGGTACAAGAAAAACAAAGCCTTAAAACAAAGAGTGTAAAAAGTATACAATCAATAAAATATGACCAATCACACAGTAAAAATTTTAAATAGGATTGTAAACAATAAAAAAGCACACTTCTTGTATTGGAAATAGCTATAAAGTCAATTTATTAACACTCTATTTCTTAATTTTTCTAAAGTTTGCTAGCTTATATTGAGTGTGATACTTATCATTGAAGCTTTTTACCTTTTCTTCATATTTTACAAGATCAGATGAATAAAGACTGGCAGCAGCAGTATTTGCTGGACTATTTGGATTTGGAAAATCAAGTAGTTGTTTTAGGCCATTCAAAATATCCTTTATGGTCAATGAAGGACTCCATTTACTTGAAATAATATCCAAACAGATTGAATTGTCCGAAAACACGTTAGGATGAAACACTTTTTCATCAAATTTTATTCTTGGTGGAGATAAAGGATAATCCTTTGTGAAGATCATCGAAAGACTGAAGAAATATCCCTTGTGATAGAACTGACACTTCCACTGAAAGATATTGTTTGGATTTGGCTTTGCATAAAACCCAAAGCATTTTTGTTTTTGGAAACTCTGAAGCTCATTCTGTAGTCTTATACTAGCCTCCATATGGACAACATAAAAGAAAAACCAAAGATTAAGTAGAAACTCAAAGATAATTCTGTCCAATACATGGTTCAACAGGAATGACATTGTTTGAAATAGAAAACCTGCCATAAAGTTTTGGGGATACAATCTTCTGTAACGTAACTTACTTGTTATAAAATAGATTGACCCATCAGCACCCCAAAATGCTAGTTCCAATACCACACGGACAAAAAGAAAATGAAAAAGAACCAGGCAGAGTGTCAAAATACACGACACAATCAACTGGGACACAAGAAATAGACACAGAAGCATCGCTAAATGAAGATTTTGATGAGGCTTGCAATTCAGAAGCACATGCATTTAAAAGTACTCTTGAGGAATTTATAAAAGAGCCAAGAGTCGAACTCATTGATCGACTGCACTTGATTTTGTTGGATAGCAACATGCAATTTCAAGCAGCAATCCAAAAAATGACCTGTAAAATACTTCCATATTTGGAAAAAAGCGAGTTTTACGATAAAATTTGTCTGATGCTTTCAGACATTTCACATTACAATCCTGGAGCTGCAAGTTTATTGCTGGAGTTTGATATTTTTTCTAAGCTAGACTACTCAAAGAGTATTTCATTTTCACTTATTCTGAGTATTTGTGATGATAACAGTACGGCCTGGAGTACTTTTAGGGAAAACCATTTAAAACCTGAATTCAATAAGAATCAATATATAAAAATGCTATTAGACAATAACCAAACACACAACAAACACATTGACTAAAACTTTGCATACAACAGCGCTTTGTTTATGCAAAATTTTAAAGCAATCTTTTAAAACTGTGGTCTAATTTTCAGAGTAATTTTTGTTTATACCCCAATGATAATACTTTTTCATTTATTGAAAGGCTATTGCAAAACAATGGGAATTCTCATTAACACTTCAAAGAATTTCTTTAATTATCGTCACATGTCAAATATTCAAGTAATGCATTATCTTTTAAGAAATTCAGGTCTTCCTTCAGAGAATATCCTAATTTTCCAGAGGGAGGATCCTTTTATGGATCCAAGAAACATTTTCAAAGACAAAGTCTTTTTATCAGAGGATATATCAATTCCTCATTACCAAATGCCACCATCCAAAATCAGTGAGCATTTTATCCTGAACATTTTTTATTTAAGACACCCCCTACTTTACAGACTTGATTCCAAGGATAGTTTGATCTTTTATATGTGTGGACATGCCAGGGAGCAGTTTTTTAAAGTTTCTGATCGGTACTTTATTTTTAAAAATGACTTGATGAGAGCCATAAACCCACTTTCCCAGAGAGTGTCAAAAATATTACTTATTTTGGATACTTGCCAGGCTTCATCACTCATAGATGATGATGGAATACCACCAAACGTATGCGTCATTTCAACCAGTTCTACTATTGAATTCAGCTATTCACACTCTAATGTTTCACTCCTTGGCGTTTCCAGTATTGATGAGGTTATGTTTACAATGTACAGGAAAGGCATTGATGGAACGGTGCTAATATGCGAGTATTTTGAAGGATTTAACGATGGAACACTCAAATCAACAGTGAAATGCCATGGAAACCGCAGTTTTAAGTTTTCTGATTTTATAGGAAATAGCAATGAAGACATGAGTAATAGCATTAGCGAATTCGTACTCTGAAAGATAAGTAGTACTGAGAGAGCCAAATAGCACATATCAGGGGATCTTCCCTTAATTTTTAACCTTTCATTAATATTCTGAGAAATAAACGAATTCTGTTTTTTGATGGATGTTGCTTTTTGCATAAAAGGGGTAAAAGAATAAATTCTAAACACAAACTCACCCTTTATGGATGTTGCGTTTCTATGGATAAACATAATCTTATATCATACAATGTGGAAAGGAGTTTTTAGGTTATTTGTTTGAGAAAGTATATTACAAAATATAAGAAATAAATAAACTAATCATTTTAATATATTGCCTATTTGTTTTAAGCTGTCAAGTATAACACTTTCTATCAATGCAAACAAAGCAGTCACTCATAATAAATGCTACCATTTATATTTTAAATTGCTGGTAATAAAAATGACGTATATCTTAGACGTAAATTAAGCATAACAACTACAATTCTTTGTTATTGTCCAAACAAGCGTGACAAGCATCACCACAAACTTGTCCATTTTCAATGCATAGCTTCTTATTTATGACATAATTTATTATTTTTATATTCAATATGAAATTCAATACCATCTAACTAAACAACATCAATGATTGATTCAATGTCCTCAGTTTTTACTTGATAATCATGCTTAGAACTATCTTTAACAACATATCCACCTGGTATTTCTTCAATAATCTCTACTGGCTGTCCCTTTTTCAATCCATTTTCACCACCAATGTCTCTGGCAATAATTCCAAGCTTGTATTGATGCCGTGTGTATGCAATCACAGCTCTATTCCTTTCCTTTTGGAATAGTAGCAAAAAGTATATTCCAGCAGAAATCATAAGATGGCTAACTGCCCATAGAGCATTGAAGGAAAATATGCCAGGCACAAGGATTATAAAATAATACATGGTAAACAGTATAATAAAATTAATAGATTGCGTAAAGACTATTAATTTTAGACTTGGAACATAAGCTCTACAAAGGTATTTTTTGAAGTACAGCCTCTTTTTGAAGTAAATATACAAGAGAACGCTAGCTGGAAAAAGGATAGAGCAAGCGTAGGGCACGAGAATCCACAGATCATTTGACAATAAAAGCGTAGGAAATAAGGCATTGAGAATCAATTCCAGGCCAATGAAAAATGTCCTGTATTCAGCCATAAGGGTGAAGTGAGAATTCCCAAAAAAAGAACAAAGGGGAAATGAAGGAATAGGAGAAGTAGGCTTAAATACAATGAAACAAAAGCAATACATTTAACTTAGCAACAAAAATTAAAGCTTTATTACTTACAAGCTGTCAACGTTGAACCAGAACAAACCAAATACTCTAAAACATTCCCATCAATGCCATCAACCACTGACAAATACTTAGCTATTTCTACGATAGAAAACATTCATAAAACTAGAAAAGCAGCTCATATCAAATTGATCAATCTTTCATAATCCTTGCATTTCCTCTTTGCGCTTTCACTCGCCATATCAAAATAAATAGCTATAAGAGAAAACTAGATTTATTCCATAACAATACCTTCAAAGTTGTCTACAAACCATTTCTGAGCCTCTTCCTGATTTACTCTTTGCTTATTTCCAACTCGAGATCGGCATCTTCTTCTTTTAGAAACCCTGTTACCTGGCTTTTCCAGGATAACAAAATAATTAAGACCAAATATACCACAGGACGGATCATACTTTATTCCAAGATCAATGTGTTCACTCACACCAAACCCAAAGCAACCATTGTTACTAAAGCAGCTACCTGGAAGTTCAAACTCCTTCACTCTCAACGCATTCTCAAGAAGCTCATAGGCCTTCTGTCCTCTAACAGTAACGGAACATGCTATTTCCTCGTTACGTCTAATTCCCCATCCTCTAATAGTAAGTCTGGACTTCGATTTAAAGGGAGTCTGCCCACTAATCTGCTCCAACACCTTAACAGCTTTATCAAGCCTTGCCTCTCTGGGACGAACACAGGTATTGATACAGAGTTTTGAAATTTTTATCTGTTGCATGACATTTGCGGATGCTCCGGACATTGAGGGTAAAATTTTTTTAAAAAATTTGGCAGAGCTCAGAAAGAAAATAAACCCATTTTAAAGCCAAACTATTAATAAAAGTGCCCAATCCTAGCTTCAACTGTTATAACTGTCATCAAAACAATAAATCCAAATGTTAAATTGGTTTTATAAATATATGACAGTTATCTCCACGAATAGCAAATAGTATGAAGAATTATGGTTTATTTATAAATTGGCGGTATTTTGTAAGAACCATTTACAGTTTACCTTCTCAACAAAAGTGCCAACATCGTGGTTGATCTTTGAAATCGTCATTTCCTTACATTTGACATCTTTCATTTCCAGAAGAACATTTCCATATTTAATGTACCACTTTCCATTTCTGTGCTTGACCAAAGATGCATTTGATGTATTTCCATTACTTAAAATCTGATGCTTGCTCATTAAAGACATGTTTTCAGAGTATTTTTCCATGTTGAATGTGATAAATGCTGGTTTCTTTAAAATGAAAAAAGCCATGGGGGTGATTTTTTAAGAGAAACCAAAAGGCATTGGCAATTTTACAACATAGAAAATTCATACAACTCACAGAATGGCATGTAAATGAAAATCAATCAACTGTCAACATTCTGCATAAACTAATCCATTATGCTAAGTTCTGCTAACAACCGACATTTCAACTGTCAAAATTCATACGAAAACATATTTTAGGATACACTTTTAATAGGAAAATTAACGCATATTAAAAAATTTTAGCAGAGACAAAAGTTATTTAAAAATAGGGCACTTCAGTCGAAAAAGCTGTGCAATTGTTTGTATTTTCCTAATTCTTGTAGAACGCTCGCTTACATTTAAAATTCAACCAGGAAGTTCCTTTTCTTTCTGTCTTTTCATAGCCCCGCATGGAAATACCTCCAAGAACAACGGAGACTCTTCTGAAAAAACTACTGCAGAATCCAAGTGAGGAGAACTATGAACAAATGGCAGCTTTCATTTCTGGTGCAGGATATGAGGATTTTATCTCCTCATTGAAGAGGAATAACACACTGAGTATAATCTTCCTGAAAAACTACGTTCAAAGATGGATTGATTCAAATACATTGCAGAACTTCTACAGTGAAGAATTTATAACGTTTCTTATACAGTGCTGTATAGAAGGGGTTATATCGAATAGCAACTGGGTGCATGTCGCTGACTTTCTTGAGGTTTTAAGCAATAATTACTTAATAAGCGAGCAGACAGTGCAGTTGTTGATAGATAGAAGAGTGGAGAACCAACGAGTGTTCATCCTTATTGACTCAGTATTCAAGAAATACACAGTGCATCCAAGATCTAACAGGTTGTTCGCAGAGATTAATAGAAGCATTGAAATGTTTTTTCCAGTATTTGTTGAGCTTTTCTTTACACCAGCCATCATCGATGAGGTGGACAAGGCCTATCAGGAAGTCCTTGTTTCTGCACAGAGGGTTATGCTAGGGGAAAGTAATGAGCTGATCCACACCACTCTCAAAGCAAGATTTGATACAGACCAAGAATACATCCTTAGTATTTTTTATTCATTGACCTATCAAGACATTCATCCCTATTTTGAAGACAACATTCAACACTTTTTAAAAATTTTCTTCATTTTGTTTAACCAAAATCAAATAATCGTTAATCAAATATTTGATTTGTTTATTTCAAAGTACCCTGAAATTACCAACTTTGATCTGATCATTCTTACACTTTCTAGGATTGATACCTTGGACGGACTGATTGTAAATACATTGACTAATGCTTTTAATTACTCACGATCGTTTCCTGCTGTAATTTTGGGGTTTCTGAGACGGACATTGCGGATTTCAAAGATGGAGGACTGGCTCACAACCACCCAGAATCTGGTCAGGGGCAACGATGTTCAAAGGGGGTTTGTGCATCGTCTCATTAGACTTCTCAACTGTGATGTTCATGCATTTGAAGGAGAGCCAAAGTTTTTTGTGGCTGCAGTTTTGAGGTTCAAAGACCAGTCGCTTCTTAACGAAGCCTTCTCTGCAATTAAAACAATGAATACAGACACTTCATTAATCTTTACTATTTTCAGATATCTACTAACTGTTCAAGAATATTCTGAATGCAATCTTGAATATCTTAACACCGACGTTAGATTCATTTGTATGAAATACCTATCCAATTTTCTTAAGTCCAAAGATGCGTACCATAGAGACATTCTTCTCAGCTCTAGGATATTTAATCATTCTTCTGGCCTACAATCAGTCAGCCCAAATGCATTGACTTCATACCTTGGACTTGATGTCAATAAGGTACTATCAATTTTAACTGCCAGTCTGGATGAATTCTCTTCTGAGTTACTGTTTAGGATTGTCAAGTGTGATGAAACCCTTCTTACACCCCTCTTATATGACATAATCACACGTTTATTCAAGAATATACTGAAAATCCCACTTACATCCCTTACTTATATACTTGACATTTACATTCTCCTAAGCATAAAGCTAAAAAGGTACAACCTTGAATTGATAGAAACAATATTCAATGAAGAAATGATAGACTTTTATAATGTCTGTTTCTTGTACATTAGTGTGCTAATGAGAGAGACAGACGTTAAGCAGAACTTTATACTACAAATCCTATCCCAGGATGAATTATGGAAGACCAAAGAACTTCATTCTGGTCTCAGCTTTATACTCATATCTGCCTATGAAATGGGCATAATCAACAGAGCTCAGATTGAAAGCATTTCTCAGTTTTTGGATGGGTACACCAAAATTCTAGTCCTTCATAAACTTTCAATACAAATGACAGGCGAATACACGGAAGAAGAGAACTATCTTGTAAATGGAATTTTTGATGGAAACTGGTTCTTGGAAAGCTTTATGAACAAGAAATACGCGAGGCTTGTGTTGAAAAAGCTTGTAAGAGACGAGAATGTTCCAATTCCAATCAAGCAAAAAGTGATTGAGAAGAATTTGATCAATGTCGAATATGAAAATGTTCTTCATTCAATTGTGAAGTACTTTGACATTTGACAGACATTCCACTTTATACATGCTAAATAAATTACTTGCAAACTACATTTTAATAGGCAAAGTAGTCACTATGCAAACATATACTTTCATTCTGTAAATGAAATATTGACAGCTTGATAGACAAACAAATACATCCAATTTATCTTTTATTAAAAGACAAATGCCAATTTTAACACAATGGAGCAAATGCATTATTTAAGCTTAATATGACAAAGGATTTGGCAGAGAACAAAGACATTACAGATAAATGTGTTATGCTTATTTTCTCTGTGCATTAAAGCTTAATAAGCTCCAAAAGACATTTGAAAATCAAAGAAGTTCAAATAAATGATATGCATAATTGAGACAATAAAAATTTTTAATTGCAGTATGATCAATTGAATAAATTAATTATTTAAAAAAATTCATCTTCAAAGCCATGAAGAAGCCAAAGCACATGCCTATAAAATCACAGTTGCGCCCAAAGAAGACCCCAGTTGTAGAGCTAGCGCTATACATCATATTCTATACAGTTAGGTTTATACTATACTCTGTATTCCGTGGAATAGGCACCGATGCCAAGATGTCCCTGGATATGACAGTGTTGATTACAAGCAGTATTATTGTAGGCTATATATTTTCACAGTTCCTGTTGTTTTTTGTGATTTGGAGCCTTCTAACAGAAAATATGTACGGATATTGCCTATCTGTAGTCATGATGCTACACAATTTCTTGATCACGGGCATTGTCATAGTACAACACTGGAACAACCAATGCATTGCGGTCAAGTACTGGCTTTCCGGCATTCTTATTTCTGCAAGCTATATTGTAGAAGTGTGTGTTTCTACATTCTTATTTACAAAAGATGGGCCGAGAGTACCGGAAATATATTTCAAAAGATAGGTGGAGATCCAATCATCAACAGGATATTTCAGTACGACAAAGACTCAAAACACTCACGTACCCAACAGTGTTCCTTCCTTTGGTGACAATTAAGAAGCTATATCTGCCATCCAGTGTGTTCCAGTACAATTTTGAGTACACAACCATTGTAATATTGGGACTGACAGGATTGCAGTACTTGTTTGTCCATGTGAAGTTCCATGATGAGGACTTAGCACAAAGAAAAGTAGCTATTGTCATTACTATTCTCAAAATAGTATTCACCGTGGGGTTGCTTGTTGCCACAGTCTGCCATAGTTCTCTGACTAGTAAGGCAAGAACCATCAGCATCGTGGTGTATTTCGACATTCTATTGGTAACACTGGTCTTTCTCCACTATCTGTGGAAGGACATGAAGAATTTTGGGAAGGGGCTAAAAAAGCACATCCTGTTTAGGACACGAGAGCTTAAACTCTAATAATGAAGTTTATTATAAGCATTGTAAATAATAAATGACAAGCCGAACAAACTTTAATTTTAAATGTAGAAATCATGCCAACATAGAATAGCTAACTAACTAACGTTTAAAATGTACAGCTTGTAAGGTTTGATAGTTGATCTATGCAATCAAGCAAAGTATGAAATAGCATTGGCCTAATGCTCAAAAACAAAACACTTGCATTGAACAATGTGCTGGGCTGACAACACATCTCGGCCAGGCATTTAAAATCCCAAGGCGCGTATTTACCACTAGCATTATGTTTTGCTTTAAAAACAATGAAATGTTTTGTTGATTTCAATTAGAAGATTGACGTTACTTATGCAAAAGATACTTTGCTAATAAACATGAAAAAGCGTGGCAATATTAAAGCAAACTTGAGTCCAAACAGGTTCCCCATTGTGGAATTCATCACACATATCGCATTTTACGGCACGAGGCTTATACTCTACACTACTGCTCGTGGAACAAGCTTTAAAACACTAAACCATGTAGTAGCTTCTGCGAGTGCCATCATTATAGGATATGTGTTCTCACTGTTTTTATTGGCGTTTGTTCTTTATAATCTTCTTAAAGAAAACACTTATGGATATTGCCTGGCTGCTGTTATGATGCTTCACAACTTTCTGCTCTCTATTACTATTCTAATGTTGATGCGTGTCGATATTCGCATTAAGCGCAGATACTGGATTGCTGGCCTTATGATTTCTACGAGCTATATTTTGGAGATGTTCATAACCATATTTTTCATATACAAAAAAAGAAAAGAAAGCAACAAGGCTGTTTTTCGGAATATTGGTGCTGATCCAGCAATCAATGACATGTTTTCAATACGCCAAAGACTTCAGACATTTGGCTCGATAGATCTATTTATTGCCATTGTCATAGCAAAAAACCTTTACTTACCTCCTCAGATATTTAGCTTTAAGTTTGAGCACATCACGATTGCAATATTAGCACTGACAGTGCTGCAGCACGTATTTGTTTATGCAAAGTTCCACGACGAGGATATAACACAGAGAAAGATGGCAATAGTGATTACAATCGTCAAAGCAGTAGTTGCTGCGCTGTTGATTGTACTAATAGCGGCAAATTACACATCATCCGAGTATCTAACAAGAGTTATAAAGATTATGCTTTGCACAGATCTTTTAGTGCTGACACTGGTCTTTCTCTACTATCTGTGGAAGGACATGAAGAATTTTGGAAAGGGGCTAAAAAAGCACATCCTGTTTAGGACACGAGAGCTTACGCTTTAAAGACGGGCATTAATATAGAAATTGCACAATAAATACCAAAATATCCATTTAATATTACGACATTGATCACAGCTATTCTTCAATAATGTACTAACTTGATAATCAAGCCCAAATTTAGCAATTTTGTGCATTGCATTTTTAATAACAAAAATTTTTTAGATGCAAGGCATTTTGTTTATTCCCAATTCTACATTAAAGAAAAGCAAAGCCACGCCAAAAGCAGTCGGGTCAACCAATTCAAGGATTTTCGGCACAAGCCACCATTATTGTATTGTAAAAGCTTGGTTTGTTGATGGCTATTGACTTGATTGATGTAATTTTAAATAAAAAACAAACCCTTTGCCTTTCATGAAGCAATATAAAAGCATCCGAACTCAACTACATACAAAGCCGTATGCTAGTTTGGAAACTGTTACGCACATCGTATTTTATGCAATTAGGCTTACCTTTTTCGTTCTGATCCGCGGACTAACCTTTAATATTAAAGTAGCTACTGAAAGGGAGTTAATAGCTGCAAATGATGTCATTATAAGCTACACATTCTCGTTCTTCCTGCTATTCTTTGCTCTCTGCAGTGTTATTACAGAAAATATCTACGGATATTATCTGTCTGCAATTCTTATGTTTCACAATTCACTGTTCACAATCGCCATGCTAATTTTAATCAGTCTAAATATCAAAGTTACAGCAAAGTTCTTGAGTGTTGGCATTGTGGTGTCCATCAGTTATTTTGTAGAGATGTGCTTCACCTTGTTCTATATTTACAGAAAGCGTGTTGAGAACAGCAAGATCTTATTTCAGAAGATCGGCGCAGATCCAAAAATCAATGACATGTTTTCAACGCGTAAGAAGCTTCAAACACTTGGTCTATTGAATTTCTTTATTTCCATTATCACAATACAAAAGCTGTACTTACCACCTGTCTTAGCTCACTTTGCCTTTGAGTATGCCACTATCATAATATTGGGTTTAACGATTCTACAGCACATATTTATCTATGCAAACTTCCACAATGAAGATCTGACACAGAGGAAAATAGCGATGGTTATCACCGTTGTCAAAGCAGCACTGGCAATATTATTAGCCATATTCACGATTATAAAATATATTGTAGGGACAGAAGAGGAAAAGGTTGTAAAACTGATTGTGTATATAGATCTTTTGATGATATCGCTGGTGTTTTTTTATTACCTGTGGACGGATATGAACAACTTTGGAAAAGGACTGAAAAAGCAGATCTTGTTCAAAACAAGGGAGCTTACTCTTTAGGAATCAATTTTAGGTTAAACTGAATGGAAATGCCATTACTTTTTATTAGACGGAACCTTTCTGCTGCTTCATACTAGACTGTTTAATTTTTATACTTTTTTGTACAAGTACCAACACTTGCAAAATCACAACCCACACCTGATTACAAACAACCTTCACGTTATCGAATACCAGCTTTGCAGCAAACAAGACAACCTGCAATGCGCAGTGTGGCTCATACTTACTAAAGCGTAACGCCCTGGGCTCTGCTTTTCATTACTGATTTTCTTAATTTAAAAGACCTAATGTTTTGTTAGTTTAATTAATTTGATTGATGTCAATTATTTAAAAGCATTCTTATCAAATCCCATGAGAAAATTCAAAAATGTTGATAGAATATGGATCTTAAAAAAATATCCTACAGCAGAACTCATCACGCATGCTTCATTTTATATTTTTAGGCTTACCGTTTTTATTATCATCCGTGCACTAAACTTTAATATCAAAGCAGTCAATAAAAGAACAATAACAGGGGCGAATAATATTATTATAAGCATTATATTCTCACTCTTTCTGGTGTTTTTTGCTCTTTACAACATTTTCACAGAGAATATTTACGGGTATTACCTAGCTACCATTTTAATGTTTCATAACTTCTTATTGACCATAGCAATGGCAATACTGGCACATATTAATGTAGGAACTAAAACCAGGTACTGGTACATTACTCTGGTAATTGCTCTAAGTTATATTCTAGAAATGTGCATTTCCACAGTCTTTATTCACAAGAAAAGGGCCGAGAGCAACAAAGCTCTTTTTCAAAGGATAGGCGCTGATCAAACGATCAATGATATATATTCACTGAGGAAACGCATCGAAACACTCAGTTCAATAAATCTGTTTCTCCCTGCGGTAATAATACTGAAGATCTATTTTACGCCCATTATATTCGTACAGAGATTTGAGAACATCACTTTTGCAATATTAATTTTAACAGCATTGCAGCATGTGTTTACCTATGCGAACTTCTACGATGAGGATCTGCTACAAAGAAGGATAGCAATAGCAATCACAATCATCAAAGCAGTAGTTATTATAGTGTTGATTGTTTTAACATCGCTAAACTATGCTAATTTGATTGCTAATGGCCGAGATATACGCATTATATTGTATGCTGATATTTTACTGGTAACGCTGATGTTTCTTTATTGCCTGTGTGTGGATATGAAAAGTTTTGGGAAAGGCTTGAAAAAGCACATTCTGTTCAGGACACGAAAGCTTACACTTGGATAGCTGGGCTTACGTTGAGTGCTCGAATCTGACATAAATAAACAGCTTTTGCTTATAATTTAGCATATATGCATCGAACTATGGCAAATAGCCTTTTTATACTAGTTTTGATTGCAATAGTATTGTAATGAAATCCTATCCTTCCACAAATTTTGTGTTGTGGAAAATAAGCCCTACAAATAGATAAGCAAATGGAGAACGCCAAATGGCACTAGCATTTACTAAAATGCAAAGTCAAAGTATGCAAAATCACCACTTTGTATAGACATTTTAATTTAAAAGTCAAATGTTTTAATTGAAATCGACTTGATTGATGTTAAGTTTGCCTTTCGAAAACAATTTCACCCACGTCATATGAAAAAGTATAAAGATTTTAATAAAATATGGAAAATAAAGGAATACCCCACTGCGGAGCCGATCGTGCATATTGCATTTTATGCCATTAGGCTTACCCTTTTTATACTTATCCGTTTACTGAATCCTGAACTTATAGTGCGTTCTAACAAAATGGTGGCAGCTGCAAATAATTATATTCTAAAGTATTCGCTCTCGCTATTCCTGCTGTTTTATGTCCTTTACTGCCTGCTTACAGGAAATATCTACGGATATTGCCTGTCCGTTGTTTTAATGTTCCACAATTTTCTATTTACACTTGTAATATCAATACTAGCACGTTTTGATGCTGATATTAAACTAAAATACTGGGCCATTAGCATTGCAATGTCGATAACGTACGTTATTGAGATAGGCTTCACCGTGTTTTTCATATACAAAAGAAGGGTTGAGAACAGCAGATCCATCTTTCAGAAAATAGGTGCCGATCCGAAAATCAATGACATATATTCAATACGGCAAAGACTTCAAACGTTTGGTGTGATAAATCTGTTTATTCCCATTTTGATAATACAGAAGCTATACTTAATTCCAGATCAGTTTGAGCTAAAGTCGGAGATGGTTACTATTGTGGTATTGGTGTTGACAGGATGCAGCATGTGTTTGTCTATACAAAGTTTCATGGCGAAGATCTAGCACAAAGAAATATAGCAATAGCAATCACTCTTATTAAAATAGGGATTACTATGTATTTAATAATATTAACGGCAATTAAATACATGTATCTGCTAAATAAGGCGAGTGATGTACGAATCATAATATATGTCGAGCTTTTGCTAATGACGCTAATCTTTATGTACTATTTGTGGATTGATAAAAAAAATTTCGGAATGGGCTTGAAAAAACAAATACTATTTAGAACCAGGCAACTTACGCTTTAGACCAAACCTACTGCACAAACAATAAACAATTATGCTCTTCCTGCATCAATCGTGTGTTTATTTTAGCCATTGTTTTAAACTTATCGTTAGGTTCTTGAAAGACAGCACTCACAAGCTATAAACACTGGTGTGCATGCTGTTAAATTTGAAATCGCCATATTCTTCTTGATCTAGTCCATGGCCGACTTTCTTTTAGCTAAGCACTCGGTCTCAAATGCTTCTTCATGTTCTACAATCCGATCATTAAGTACTGAACTGAATGATTTATCCTTAAGCGCTAAATCGACAAAACAAGCATGTTGCACTATATTTGATGAAAAATATGACTCAGCAAAGTGTGGACCAATCAAAGCAGACACTTTTAGTGCTGTTTTCATTTGTAGAGGTTAAGCGATTTGTTGACTGCTATCAATTTAATTACTAGTTGATTTTAATTATTAAAGCAAACAAACTGACCTTCCATGAAGAAGTACAAAAATGTCAGCCGATCGTGGAGATTAAAGAAGTATCCTGTTGTGGAGATCATCACGCATATCACATTCTATGCTGTTAGATTTATCCTTTTTCTAATAACACGCGCATTCTACTTTAATCTCAAGATTGTTACACCCAGTGCAAAGTCAGCCGCGAATAACTACATGGTGAACTATACATTTTCACTCTTCCTTTTGTACTTTGTTCTGTACTGCATCTTTACGGAGAATATCTATGGATACTGTTTGGCTGTTGTTGTTATGTTCCATAACTTCGTTCTCATGGTTGCGATCGTGATAACCACACACATTGACGATCGTACCAAGGACAACTACTGGATTCTTAGCCTTGTGATCTCATCAACATACATTTTCGAGCTGTGCATTTCTATATTTTTCATCCGCAAAAGCAGAACTGAAAGCAACAGAGCCCTCTTCCAGAAAATAGGTGCAGACCAGAAAATCAATGACATGTATTCAACACGGCAAAAGCTCCGAACGCTTAGCACTATAAACATATTCATTCCGATCATAACAGTGCAGAAATTGTACCTTGCGCCCACACAGTTTGGACTGAAAAGCGAAACATCTACCGCTGTGATACTGCTTCTAACGGTAATACAGCATCTGTTTGTCTATGCAAACTTCCATCAAGAAAGCCTTGTACAAAGAATAATAGCAGTGGCCATCACGATCATTAAAGCAGGACTTAGTCTAAATCTTATAATATTGACAGCAATAAAATACGCATACCTATTAAATAAAGCAAATGATGCGAGAATTATAGTGTACCTCGACCTTTTGTTAATTACACTAGTCTTTTTGTACTATCTGTGGAAGGATATGAGAAATTTTGGAAAGGGGTTGCAAAAGCATATCTTGTTCAGAACCAGAGAGCTTACGCTCTGACAACAACTGCATCTAAACATTTTGGTTTCTAATTAAATAATATTTTCATTTACACTCAGATTAAATTGCGAGAATTTGCAAACAAACTTTTTGTCGTGCTTCTAAATTTATTGTAGTCAAATATGCCAATAAAATACTCCACTGATGCCTGCGACACAACAAAGCACAGAGCTCAATAAAATGCTCTCCGCACTCGTCTGCTTATTTATTTCAGAAAGTTTTATCAATTGCAATAAATTTGATTGACGTTATAAACAAAATCATATTAGAAGCCAATTCACCACATCCTTATGATAAAAGGCAAAGTTTTTAAGACTCAACTGCAATCAAAGAAGTACCTAACAACGGAAGCCATCACGCATATTGCATTTTTTGTTATCAGATTGGGTCTTTTCGCCATTAGCCGTGCAGTAAACTTTCATCTCAAGATAACGCCCAAGAGAAGGATAGAGGCTGTAAATGACTTCATTACCAACCTTATATTTTCACTATTTTTGCTGTTTTTTATCCTTCACAGCCTCTTCATAGAAAACATTTACGGATATTGCTTGTCGGTTCTTTTAATGCTTCATAATTTTGTCTTCATGCTTGTTATGATATTGATGTCCCGCTTTGGCGTTCAAATTAAAGTCAAACTCTGGTCTGTTGGTCTTGTGATATCCTTATCCTACATTGTGGAGATGTGTGCCACCATCTTTTATATATACAAGAAAAGGGCCGAGAACAGCAGGGCCCTGTTCCAAACGATAGGGGCAGACCCAAAGATAAATGATATGTTCTCAACACGAAAAAAGCTTCAAACGCTTGGCACTATAAACTTATTTATTCCCGTTATAATAATAAAAAAGTTGTACTTTATTCCCTCACAGTTTGAGTTGAAAATCGAATGGATTAATATTGTAGTATTGGCCCTGACAGTGCTTCAGCAGCTGTTTGTCTACGCAAAGTTCCACAACGAGGATTTGGTACAAAGAAGGATAGCAATAGCGGTGACTATCGTTAAATTAGCAATCAACATAGTGTTGATCGTAACGACTTCAATAGAGTTCATTTACTTACTTAGGAGAGCAAAGGATGTACGGATTATAATATACGTAGAGCTTTTGTTAATCACACTTGTTTTTCTATACTACCTGTGGATAGACATGAAAAATTTTGGAAAAGGATTAAAGGAGCATATTCTATTTAGGACAAGGGGGCTGACCCTTTGACATCCGGGTTGTTGTACTAAGTAAATGACAAGCTGAATCTTCTTATTTAGTTTGTCAGAGTATATATTAACGTCGCTTGAACAGCTAACCAGACGCTTTGATCTCGCTAGTGGTGTGGCAATCAAATCATTTTTTATCGTCACTTACGTACTCGTTTCTTATTAAGTTCTTTGAAAAGCTTTGAATAGAAATGAGGTTACACCCAAAATCGGAGAAAGAGTAGCAGCATTTGGGCTATAATAATATTTCCGATATACAGGGTCAATGAGGTGCCCACATACTTACTGCTAGCAGTAGTATAGATGCATGCTTTACTAGCAAGGAGTCTCAGAATGCTATCACTGTGATGTGACTAGTTGTGGGCAATATCTGATACACCCAGATATGTTAAATCTTTCAACGCGCCTTTGAACCGAGTAGAACGAAACAAGGACCGAAAAGTACTGCTCGCAGGCCAAGTCGAGCCATTTGCAATTGGAGCCTCGATTCTGCTTGGATGATGGAAATTTCTATTTAACTTTTCTGGATCTCATCCATGGTTAAAGCTGCTGAAGAAAAACATAGCTTAAATAAATGCTTTGATTTCCTACTTTATCTGATCAGCAGCAAGCAGGGCACGGTGTCCTGCTCTTTATCCTACTGATAGATTATTATGCTCTTTGCCTAGCTTCTGGTATTATTCTATATCCTTTTTGACCTTCAAATAGCGTTGTTCTGTGAAATATCCGCTTTGTTGTCTTTGATTTTATACGAAAAGGCTTTTTCTCTTTACTTTTTCAAGCCCCAATGTCCGAGGACAATCTAAGAAATCCATTTGTGGTCTTTTGTAAAAAGTGCAATAAAATATTGACAGATTCTTTCACCCTCAACGACTATAGAAATGGGTATTTGGTACACAGCTTTAGCACAGTAAAGGAGGAATCAAGGATTGAGGTGGGCAAGGATATATTTCAGAACTGTCTAATTCAGAAGATAGCATGTGCATGTGGCAATGACACTGGAGTGTTTCTAGCATCAGTGAGTGGAGAATTCAATGGTCATGCCAACTGCTATGCATTTGATAAGAATCAGGTCAATTCATATGTGCTGGGAAGTGCGGTGAGTAAGGAGAAGGGATTGTCTGAGGTGATGGAGGATGTGGAAAAGTTGAAGAGCGTGGTGGCAAAGATTTACAAAAAGGTATACCAATAAATAATAACCCAAGCATAATGTTATATATTTACATACGATATTATTGTGGCAGACATTTTGCCAATGTAGCTTTAGTCGCCTGAAAGGAGGCGCAGTAAATTTCATATATTCAACGATTGGCCCATTAATAGGATTATCACCAACATATCAATACGACCAGTTACAACCTATTGCTAACATCCAAACAGCCATTCCCATAGAATGTTTTGCATCGATCGTTCATATCACGCAATATAAGTTTAACCTGACAATTGATAAAATGCCAAAGTACACAAGATGCAACTTAAAGAACTTGAGTTTATGATTAAATTTACATCACTGTTTGAATTTAAAAAATTTTGCACCCTGTCCATGTTACCATTACATCCGCAAGAGTTCAGAAACATTGCAGATCATCTTTATGACACGTACTGCGCCTTGAATGAGGAGGCTCATCGTCTCAGAAAGGAAAATAAGGCATTGACTGAGGAACTCAACAAAATTAAAAACCTAAACACATCCCTCAGTGCTAGATTAAATAATCTGAGTGGTACTAGGATTCTGAAGATGGGGGCTGAATGGTTCCTGGATGGCGAGTTCTTGTTGAATATGTGTCTAACACATAGGATTAGGTTTAACAGCCCAATTTGCAATGCCAAGATAAGCAAAGAAGGGAAGATAGCATTTACATGCAACAATAAGATCTTTCTGATAATTGATAAGAATGTTTTTGTGGTTGAGGACACTATTAAAAGTTTTGATATGAAAACAATGAAGCATGATTTGGTAGATCTTGAAAGGAGGATATTTGACTTTATCGAGGAAGACTTGGTTGTATACGACAACGGGCGCATTATAAAGTTTAATAATCAACAGCCAGGATGGGTGGTTAACAACATGATGGGTGTTACGCATATCTGTGTTGATCAGAGGTTAATTTATGTTGGTATGGATGAAGGAAAGATTCAAATATATAATATTGAAGGGGTGTATAAAGATGAAATAGTGCCGAACGTAGACTTCACATCCTTTATTGTCAAAGACTCTCGGGTTTTGCTTGTTTCCCAGGAATGTATCACATTACAGCCTTCATTCATGCATCTCAGCAGTCACAGGATTGTAGCAACCGATTTTGATGGAAATGCAGTGTACCACGGTGGAACCACAGGAGTAGTGAGCATGGCACTTCCCTCTGGCAACACCCTGCAGTCCTACGACTCTCTCAACTTCAAGAGTCCCATTCTTTCTCTTTTGAAGTACAAGGGTTTTCTACTGGTGGCAACTGAAGATAGAATGGTCAATGTGACGGACCTAACCACAAAGAAAAGCATGAGAATAGTGCAGACTGACAATGTTATTGACATGTGTTGCAATGAGAATGTAATATGCTTTGTTGATAACAATGGAGGCCTGAAAGAATGGAGGATTAAGCAGTAAAGAAGAATTCATAAAACTTATAAAGTTAATGTTGTGGTGCATTATTAAGCTGTAATGCTGTGAACATTAAAATAGATTGCTATATAAGTGTATTTTGTTTAGCTATACTTTAAACTACTTGTCTGTCCTTAAAATACTCTACCCACAAATTTGTTTATCTATGCAAAGAGACTTCCAAGTTAATGCACTGAGAACAAAAACAAAATACAAGCTCACAGCACTCAGGGTTGGAATGAGGGAGCACATTCTGAATAGCTTGACGTCTTTATTTGATAATACCACTCTGAGCCTACCTATGCTTGCAATTCTGGAAGCACTTGAAGATAAGAACAGCAGAGTAGAGGATAAAGCGGAAGATGGCGTTGCGGTATCAAAACGAAGCCAGCGAAATAGGATCATGCATGTAAATACACTTAAGGCGGCAGAAAAGGATGATGAGAACAATGACGCCTCATTAGTTTTACCAACACACCTAACAGAAGATAAGCCAAATGATGAAGGAGCAGAGGACCATCCACCAACAACCTACAAGCTTCCAGGGTTGAGAAAATACAACAAGGGCATGGGGAGTAGTATTCTTGATGATTCAGCAATAGGAAGATCAAAAAGAGGAAGCAGAACAAAGATCGCTGACAATAATAAGCTACCAAAGAGCAATGAGCACAACAAGGATAATACTAGAGTTCTAAGACGTAACAGCGCTTTAAAGAGTAGTGGTGATAGTAAACCAAAGGTGAAAATACCGCCTTCAACAAAGCCAAAGGGGAAGAGCCAATCAAGTAAAGAGTAGGGCGCAAGACTAGAGTGGGGTGCTTATTTGAAGACATGCAAGCAAATTCCGACTTTACTTAAAATAAGTTTAGAAATGCTAACAGTTGAAAGCCAACAAGCCAGAAAAAGACAGCTTTGCATGGCTGTTTAAAATAGTCTATCCTTAACATTAACAATTAAAGCATTAGCGAAGGTGTTCCTTGTTTATTCATATTTCTTTAATACACTCACCCATTCATTCCTTTCGGTTTCACAAGACAATTCAAGATTTACACCATTCACAGTTATTCCTACCTTTCCTGTCTTCTCAACTCTCTCAATTCCAATGGCTTTGATACATTTGTCCTTTGTGCATAAGCATAGGGTCCTTCCAATGAGTTTTCCTAGTACTTTCTCGCCATTAAATAAAATGAAACTTGTCCTTTTGTAAATATCAGTGACAATATCAGAGAGAATGAAAGAGGAGAGTGAGTGCTCATCTTTAGACAGGAGAGCAAGATTAAATTCGGGGTCTTCCAGCTGCTTAAGAACATACCAGATCGAGGACAAGTCCTTAGTGGTGCCAGGGGTATGCACCTTAATGTAATGTCGAACACCCACTTCAGTTAGCAGGGAGTTGCACAGGGAAAGATGAGGCTTTGAAGATAGAACAGGCCCGGGTCCCCTGAAAACAAAGGGAGACAAGGACACGTCAATATTCGAAAATAAAATATTCTTATTTCTGTAAAGATTCTCACTCTTTATGCATCTTAAATCTGGAAGATGGGAGGGGATTTTAAGGAAAGAAGGCCTTGACGGAAACTTAGTAAAGTCCTGGATGAGTTCAGAACTTGAAGGGAAGTGAATACTTTTAATGTCGTTCGCGGCAGAACCAGTCTTCGATGATGTTTTGTTTTCGATTTTGTTTATAATATCCCTGATATTCATCACATCTGCTTTTGCACTATCATTAACAGCTGTCAATGGATTGTTTTTACTGCTTGGCTGGGCAGGAATGACTGCCTTGTCAGGTATCTTGCTAGCAGCACCATCATTAACAGATATGGAAATAACAGGCGGGCTATCAGCCATATCCCTTTCTTCCTCGCAGAACTCTTTGTCAAGCGTCTCTGTTGAAAATGAATTGATGTCAGACGATGCAAAGTTGATCTCCTCGCCATCCTCAGGAATCATCTTTGAAAATTTTTTCCTGAGCTGAGCAACCTTTGAGGACCCAAGGTTGGAAATAGCCTCATCCTTTTTTGCAGGAACAACACTGTTCCTTTCAAAGAAGAGAATTTTATCCCCAAGACTCATCCTCTCGTTTTTTATGTCGCAGGATTCATCAGCTATGCTGGCGGGAGACGCAAAGTGATCTTCAATGCATTGGGTGTGGGTGGATTTCATCATTGGGGTGATTGCATAAACTTGATATAAGAAAAATAAATATAGAAGAATAAATAAATAGATATAGAACTTCTAATTTGCTGTACTGTTAAAAGCAGTCCTGTTAGAGAGAGCGACATCCACTAAATGAAGCAGCACCTGCTGAAAGTAAAATCAAACATAAAGACATTCATTGGGCACATGATTATTTGCGGCCTGCGTGCAAAGAAATGGCATTTTTTGAAAACTGTGATGCTGCTGGGAGAAATCATAGACCGAAGGAAGATGCAGGCATGATGTCAAAGAAATCAAACTCAGGCCCAATCAAATACACGTAAGTTAAAATTTAAGCTAGATGCATAATAAATATACTTTATTCACATAATATTATACGCTTCCAGCATGCTTCCCCTTCTCTTCCATTGATCTTTCGTTTCTAAATATACGGAATCCTTAAACTTCCTTACCAATTCCTTTTTCGTTTGAACATCAATCTTACTTTCAATTTGTGATAGAATCTCTGAAAGCTTCTTAGAATCAAACACATTCAATATGCTCACCATAAAGTCCGTCTTCTGTGTCACTGTCAGCTCTACCGTGCAGGCCAGAATAAACTCTGAAATAAATATTGGATTCCAGGTAAAGATAAGGCCCGAAAGTACTCTAATTCTCTTTGTATATGCCTCAATGCCCATTCCTATTATGTCCTCAAGTATTAGCTTTTTTGAAAGAAGAATTATTGATTTTAGAGTCCAGTCTTTTACTATCCACTTCAGGACAGTTATAAACTCCGACTCTCTGTAGCATTCCAAGTACTTCTTCAAGCTGCATCCCACAATCTTGCAGTTATCTTCATTCCTGATCCAGTTTCCAAAGTTTGCGTCGTATGTTTTGTCCATGAAAAGTATTGTCTCGTCGATTTGTTTGAGCGTCAGGGGCATATGTAAAGGGTGGTGCTAGGTGGTAAAAAACAAGAGTAAGCACAAGAAAGGAGAAGCTAAATAGAGTGAAAGGAGGATGGCCATAATGAGGAGTCTGATACCATAATTATAGCTCATTCTATGAACAAGCAAATTTATTTAAGCTGCAGTATAGATATTAAGACAGCTATATTGCGAATAAAACAAAGATGAATGTCAGTATGACTAAAAGCAATAAAGCTTGCTGCATACGAACGCTAATTAAGAAGAGCACACTCCACTTTAGCTTTATATTTAGTTTCTTGGCATACTGTAAATTTCGATGGTTTTCCTATACATTTCAATCAAGACACTCATTTTTCCAATCAATGCATTCTTCTTGCTGATATTCTCTTTCATAATCTTTGCCCTTCGCATTGACTCTTCAATGTTAAAGCTTTCATAAAGTTCTTTATACTGCAAAAACCTGCCTTCTATTGATCTTACATCGCTTTTGTAACGGGACAGCTGACTTTCCAGGTCTTTTATGTATGCCTCGGTATTGGCCGTGTTGTTTGCATTGTTAATAGATTCCAGAAGATGATAGTTCTCGTCTTCTAAATTATTTACATCCTCTTTGTACATTTTTATCTGGCCCTCGAGGTTTTTGATTGTACTTTCAGCCGCAATGACTTTCTCATTTAATTTGTCAATCGTTAATCTTAACTTGCCTATTGCACTGTTTTCTTTACCAATGCTATCTTTGGCGTCCTTATCACTTTTGGGCTCACTTCTGGCTTCTGCCAGCCTTGAATTGAGCCGGTCTATTTCATCCCTCATCTTCTCGATATCTGAAATAAGTACCCTGTTCTGTCTTAGTACACTCTCATTCTCTGATAAAAGATCTGAGGCTGGTTTAATGCTTCCAATCCTAGTCTTGAGGGCCTCATTCTCCATTTTAAGCAAATCAATCTGGTCGACAAAAATATTATTGCTAGCTTCCTCGCTGGTGCTATTATATTTGTCTATTAACTTGGACTGATCCAATATCTTTTTATTTTGCTCCTCGCAGGTCCACATTAAATTCCTAAACAGCCCTTCTATCTCCACCTTGTTCTCCTTAATAGCCTCCAAGACATGCCTTATTGTCAGTATTGTACTTTTAATCTGTCTCATGTTTCCTTCTGCAGCATTTTCTCCTTCACCGGTGCTATTCTTTGGCAATATACGTATCGAATTGTGCATTAGTATTTGAACATTCTTGCTAAACTCGCTTACACCCTCCATAACACAGTCTCTGATCACCTTCATCTCTGCATTTCTCATTCTACTCTCACTCAACTCGCCGCTAATTCTCATGAATTCTTCATTTAGATTCTTGTATCTGACCCTATACTCCTCCAGCACATCACATTTTGATTTGAGACTGACAACTTCAGAATATAATCCATGTATCTCCTTTGTCTTTTCATAAATATGAGCTTGGTACTCTCTTTCATTTGTTCTTAGTATTTCAAGTTCCTTTTTAATCTTATTCAAGCTCTCATAGGAGCTACTTTCTATCTGCTGTCTCAACAGCGATATTTCAGTAAGATACTCTCCAACAATAGTGCAGAGCTCCTTCGAGTCTTTATCGTAGTTTTCAGTTAGAAAGTTGACCTGTGCATTTAAAGACTGTTCTTTTAGTTCCATTTGCTTAGCCTTTTCCGTTAAGAAGTGAATTTTTCTCCTGAGAATAGCAGCATGGCGCCCTCCGCAATGCTTGGTAGAGTGGTTCACCGTTTTTGGATCAGATCTGCTTGTGGAGTACTCATTTATTAGCGTCTTGTGCTTTAAGTTTGTCATTTCTAGTTCTAAACATTTCTGGGTTTCCTCTCTTAGCTTTCCTTTCAAGTCTTCAATGGTCTTTTCATAAAAGGAAATCTTAAAAGAAATGTCACTCTGAAGATTGACAACCGTCAGATGGTAGTCATTTAGTATACTGTTGACTTTGCTTCTGGTAGGTTCTGGCATTGAATCAATTTCTACAGGACTAAGCCAAGCAGATATTCCAATGGATGCAGTCATAGTTGCACTCATGGCAAGGGGAAAGTAAAAAATGGTATAAGCAAGAACAGTAAAGCACAGATAGAAAAGACAGAAACCTCGTTTGTAAGTGCACAATAATACCGATTAGTAAATCAAAGAAGACATTAACCTAACAGACTAGTGTAACGGGAAATATACACAAAAGATGCTAATAACATACAAACCTGATCAACAAACAACATAAGACTTGTCAATCTTCATATCCATATTTGAAACATAGCGTAAAGAGAACTCGACTATATTAGGAGTCATTCAAAAATATGCAAGAAGTTTGAAACATTGTGGTTTTTGTTTCACTGTGTTACAGAACTTTTATTTAATAGTGGGAAATATTAAAATGCAATGTACTCCACACACTTATTGAACTACGATCGCCTTAAGAAGCTAATAAAACCTAATTTCACAGATCAGCAGGAAGAGGTATTCAGAAACAGTCTCGACTCAGACATACTGAAAGTATTTGCATTCATAAATGATACACATATTGCAATACTTTCAAGTATTGAGGAGCATGATAGCACTGAAGCAAGAACTGATCACCACAAAGACACTATCTATAGCTTTATTGATTTTATTAGAACAAATATTAAATATTTGAAGAAGATACTGCAGAGGCACGATAAGTACACGGGATACTCAATTATGGATGAATACAAAGGAAAGATCAAGGAAAAGAAACTAGAGATCAGAAATCTAACAAAGTTGCTCACTACACTCAATTCAGCAGAAACACAAATGCCAAGCCATTACCTGGTTCCATCTGAATGTCTTGTGAGTTTCAAAATGAATCTTTTGAAGCATCTAAAGCTGACGAATGAAAGCCTGGAAGACTCATGTGTTAATACAGTATATTTGGACAATGAAGACTTTGATCTTTACCTGAGCACACTTGATAATAAGCCAGATGCATTTCAGGTCAGACTGAGGTGGTATGGGCTAAACTCATCGGAAATATTCTGTGAGATGGGGGATAGAACAGTTAAAATACCCGAGAGACTTATACTAGACTTCTTAAACGGCAAAGACATATGGAATGATCTCAATAAGATTGATACCAAAGGAAGTAATCTGTTGAATGCCACTGGCAACACTCATATTAGTAGTGGTAATGCTGTTAACTCAGAGGCTGATTATAGGGAAATTAGAGATAAAATAAAAGGATATAGGCTCAAACCTGTCCTTAGAACATTCTTCAGAAGATGCACATTCGAAGATTTGGAAAGCAATGCCAATAAGGGTGTAAGGATTGTTATGGATTCCAATGTCGTGATGATCAAGGAAACAGGCGGAGAGTACCCGTTAAGGTTCTGGAGGAGGGATGGCAGTTGGCCATTTAGGAATCTTGCACAGAGTGAGGTGACCAGGTTTCCCCATACTGTAGTTGAGGTGAAGGTACCACGCGAGAGGCTGGAAACTGGACAGCTGGCATGGCTGGAGCATTTTCTTGCGGAGAGCAGAATCGAAAGAGTTGACAGTTTCAATAAATTTGTGCATGGATGTGCCATTCTCTATCCAACAGTTACCAACGTCCTACCTCACTGGCTACCGCAAATTAGCACGCCAAATGGTGGCAACCCTGATGTTGTTAAAAGAAGCGCAGATGCTGATGTATTAATATACGATAGCGATATCAGCTACGATACTAGTCCAGTGTCAGATGGCAGATCAAGAATAGCCATCCCTGTGAGGGTGGAACCAAAGGCGTTTTTCGCGAACGAAAGGACGTTTCTCAGCTGGGTACAGTTCGCAATATTCCTGGGAGGAATAGGCACAGCAATGATCGGTCTTGGAAATGCACAGGCATATATCTGTGGAGTCATGATGATTGGAGTTGCAGGTATATTTGCATTCTACTCGCTATATCTCTTCCACTACCGTGCACTGAGGATCCGAGTAAAGGATCCTGGCCCGTATGATGATATGATAGGGCCCATGGTGCTGGTTGGAATATTTATATTTGTGATGGTGGTATCTTTTATTTTCAGGTTTCCAATTAAGAAGACAGGGCTTAAGGCACATTAAAATAAACATGTTAACTAAAGAAGCATTGAGTAGTATAAGTGTTTAAACATCTATCCTTATGCTAAATTTCTGCAACAGCAGGTATATCTGCAAGTTGCTTTGATCAATCAAACACTTTATGTTTCGACTAATCTAGCTCGCCAGTTTCTCGTTAGGCCTCAACATTCTCTAACGTCTTCGCATCCTCAAGTTAATTATACTGTTCAAGCGACGGGGAAGGACAGCCCAACAATAGACATGGAGATGTCCTTTTAGTTTAGTTGTGTCGCGGTAGGTTGATTAATCAGTAAATCATATGTAACACAAAATGTATGCCCGTCTCAAAACTGCATTTCTCTTTAGCCCTTCGATGACTGACACTCAGCATATCGACATAAACCAGGAGCTTGAAGAGATGATTCAAAGCATAGAAGACGAAATCTACAACACAAGAACTTTCAATTCAAACTTAGAAAAAGAAATAGCATACTTAAGGAATGAGCTGGGGTCTTTATGTCGACATTACTATAAAAAGGATAATAAAGAGTAATTAGGCTGCAGAACACCACATTGTTATTTAGAAATCATTGTGTTTCCTTTTGGATAGTTCTTTTTATATCCTAGAATTGGTTTTGCTTGACCCCTACAAATGACACTGCAGGACTTTATCGAAAGAAACTTGCTTAAAACAGTGGAGTTTCTGATCAAGCACAAGCTGGTAGAAGACGAGCAGTATGGAATTTGTCTCGACTCCATCGTGTCAATCATCAACGCAAACAACAAAGAGTTCTACAAAACCTATTCCCAGCTACTCTGCGAACAGTCAAGAAAAAATATAAATGCAATAGTCTTCTGCTCTTGCTGTAACTCTAAAAGAATTTTCCTAAGAAACCACAGCCTCATACACAGCGTATTTAGCAGTAGATCATTAACTAGCATTTCTCCATCAATTGAGGATGTTAAACATGATTTTAATATTGTTGCCATGCCTGGCTCAAAAACGGATCCTTTCTTAAAGTACATCAAAGCATACATATCAAAAGACATAGACCTGGCCATTGAGGTTGTAGAAGAGCAGCCTCTCTTTTGGGAGGCACATCTTCTCTTGATGGATCTGTGCACATCATTTATTCAGATCAACACGCCATTAAGTCTATATTTCTATGCTTATTTGAAAATATACAAGGACATTGACAGCATTGAAGCGAGTTTAGTTAGGGACAGTGCACCTTGTAGTAATAAGAGTGTGGGCATGGCAAAGTTCACAGTACAGAATGCGAATATCCTTGCTGCTCTGCATTATTGCTATGGAGATGATAAGAAAGCACTGAAAATATTTAAAACAATTGATTTCACTGAGTGTTTTGACCCTTCCTTCTTTGAATTCTACGGAATACTTCTGTACAACTCTAATGATCCATCGCTTCCTCTTCTTTGTGAAAATATGTCAAATTTTCATAAAAACAGGTATGAGACGTTTACAACTGTAGGGATGTTCAAATTAAGCCAAGGAAGATTCACGGAGGCCAGGGATCTATTCAAAAAAGCATATAAGCTAAGCAATCCCCCGATGTTGCATGTCTCATAGCGTATTCCTATCTTAAGCTGCAGGACTATGACAACTCCACTAGCTTCTATCAGCTTGCCCTGGGAAATAATTTTAGAATTCTTTATTCCATTGCACAGGGCTATTTTTTAATGAATAAGTATCCAATATGTCTATCTTATTGTAAGAAGGCACTTGAAATTAGGGAGGATGGGACAATTTACAAGTTGATGGGAAAGGTACACCAAGGCCTAAACAATACAGAACTGGCCATTAGATACTTTGAACGGTCAAGCAAGTTACAAGAACATGACTCGTTGCTGTATCTTGCTGAGATTTTCAAGAATAAGAATGATACAGCAAGAGTACTGGAACTGTATGATCAGTATTTAAGGGTTGGGGAGAAAAATGCCAAGACAGTTGCCGAGTATCTTGCAAATTACTACGAAGAACAGGGAAACTTTATTAAGATGGAGGAATACAGACTAATCCAAAATAAATTGTGAAATAGCTTTTTTAAAAGCCATCTCTGGAAAGGTAGTTACAAAATAATCCGTACGAATATGCCTATTTGGCCTTCTTGCGACTGTTGACAGATGTTTGAGCAATTTATATCTTTAAAACTTTACAGAATGATTAGCTACTTACCAGCCAAGACATAAACATAGTTCAAGCGCACAACAATATTTTTTAAGATCAGCTTTTACATTATCATTTTGACATTAGCTAAACTAAGCTTATGATTTAAGAATTCATGAAAATGAGAACCCTAATGAAGCAACAAATTTTCAAAAGCATATGCTATATTTTTACAATTTTTAACACCAGGATACGAACGTCTGCAAGCTGTAATATCAGTGAACAAGATGATACTATTGAGCATAGTCATCCGCAGGATGGTAGGCTGATAATGGAACAATCAAATGAAGCTCTTGATATGACACAAAGCAGCATTATAGAAAGAAAGCGGCCAAATCCTTCTACTGCTGATACATCAGGTGTGAATAATAAGTATGGGCGATATGAAAGAAGCGATGAGTCTGATTCAACATCATCTCATGAAGATCAGCTGGTAATATCGGAAGATCTTTATGAAATTCTAGGCTTTGTTGAAAACAACAATTCAGAGCTAAGTGTGCCAAGTGCACTAACCAATAATCTACATAGCCAAGAGGTTAGTATAGCTGACATGCTTGTTTCGAGTGACCATGTTCAAGCATGCAGCAAACTTCGAAGTGATGCTGTAACAAAATTAACTGGGCAGATAATATGTGACGTATCAGAAGAATACCAAAATACAAGAACAGTGGATGTAAGTCCTACTCCTTTGGCAAGGTATCAATATCCTTCAGCATATTCATTTTACTCACCCAGCCCACAATATTATAATGCCCAAGGCTTATCTGGCACTATTCCCTATGCCCGTTCGTTAGCATATATTCCGACTCAAGCAGGTGAAGATCAAATAGCTGAAAGTGCTGACCCTGGAGATGAAAGTGTAGAAATAGCGCTACTATCAGATCAAAACATGCCAATAGAGGATAAATTCAAGAGCGCATTCTACTCTATTAGATCAGTTAGCAATTTGTCTAGCGAAAACGAAGAGATTAATATTGAAAATTATATCAAGCTGTGCAAGGATACAATTTTTACCGATGAAGATTTCTTAAAAGCTTATGAATCAGCAGCCTGTTACAAAGGCCGTTGCTTATTTGGTTTTATTTTTAAAAAGTATTTGGCAATTAAAAGACGTCGAATTGCCCTTCTCGAAACCGCCCTAAAAATATGGGCCTGGTTGAGCAGACTTCTTATTTTGAGAAGTAATGGCATTGAAAAACGCGAGTTTAAAGAAATACCGGAGGAACTGCTATTTCCGTATTTCTGTCTTGGTTTGATATACACATATCGAGAAGCAACAACATTTAAATACTTGTATTATATGCTCGACAAGAGCATTCCAAGAGAACCACAGCCTGGTGTGATTGATCTTAGTGTCACATCTTTATCAGAAGATCAGATATTTTGCAAAAAGGGATACATTGACACATTGAAAGAATGCATTTATTTTAGAAACTACCAAAAGATAAATATTAATGATTTGAATATACTTGATACAATCTCCAACGCCATAAGAATTTTGGCATCAAAAGAGCCAGCAAGGATCATATTTGATAATTTAAAAGAAATATTTGATAATGACAAAGAAATGCATACATACAGAAGTCGTTCAAGATGTCGAATGATCTATTTCATGTGTATTTACCGTGCCACATGCAGCAGTAGGTTTCTGAACACCGTGCGAATAATTATGTCAAATGCCAGTGAAGCCGTGCCAGAAGATGCGAAAGCTGTGCAAATACGTTTGTATATAGAAAATGAACTGAGGGAATATTACGCATGGGTGCACCGCAATATTTGCAGTATGTTTAGAGAAGTGATTATTCCGTATTTAAACGAAGTGACAGTTAGGGGCAAAGGTATGCAAAAGACAGCCTGGCAGTCATTACATCAAAGAAAGCGTAACACCTCATCTTACACTAATGAGTTTTTGAGTTCATTATTTATAAGCATTGATGGTGCCAATGTTCCGAACACTGAGGAGATCAAATTCCGTATTTACACCTGTGCATATACTCTAGCAAGCACATACCACACGATTTGCGATTTAGGATTTATACTGCTTGGGAACAAGCCCATCAAGATGGGAAACCATTTAACCACCAATAAGGTCTTTGAATATATTGCTATTTCACAGTTTGATCCAAGAAGAATCAAGATATTACTTGAAGAGTACAAAAAACACTATGAAGGCATCAAGGCCAGCACCGCTTTAACAAGCAATTAAATTGTGGTCTACTGAAAACAAAAACTTTATTTATCCAAATGACCGGCAAGGCACACTTGTCTGCACCATTGTACTACTTTCTAATGTTTAAAATTGTCGAAAGGGTTAGTTGAACGTAATGTAGTCGTTTTGTATTACTTTTTCAATCCCCGGGATTACAGGCAAGTCAAAGGGGAAGAATGAAAACAGTCCATTCTTAGGAGCATGGTAGGCAGGCTCTTTTAACTTGTAAATTTCACAGAATTTTGAAACCACATCCCTATTGAGATAAGCAAAAGAGTTCATTTCTTCTCCCTTCTTTATCAGCTCCCATATTCTATCAACGTCGATTATGGCTGTCTGCTTTTCATGGCTATTGTCTGCTTTTAGCACATCAGATTCTGACATAAATGCAGTCGAAAATTCCTTAAAGCATAGGATGTACATCAGACTCTGGAGCAATAACAGATATTGGACGCTATTTGACGGCTTATTTTCTGAAATGTACCTGAGAAACACCGCCAAGCACTTCTGCTTGATTTCGAAATCAAAATTGAGTCTTACAAGCAACGAGCTAAAGAAGGGACAATAAATCAATGGGGCTTTCTTAAGATTGGAAAGCACATATCCAAAAACAGGCTTTGGATTGCTCTTAGCGACAAGTAAGATTAAAAACTGAATATTTTTGGTCTTGATCTTGAAAAGTGGCGCCAAAATATCCAAAACAGATGAAATGTCGTTGCTCACTAATATCTCATAGAATAACTTGAAATACATTTCAAAGCAATCTATTTTGGTTTTAACATCAAAGTTTTTGTCCAGAATGCTGCACTCTCCCGAGATTACTCTTTCCCAGTCTTCGTCGGAGAGTATTTCATAGGAGGCGCTTATCTGTGAGTCCAAATCTGTGAGATATTCCAAAACTTTCTTGAGAATCGGTACCGAGAGTCCTGGAATAGATGTGTATTTTAAGTATTCCTGAAGCTTTGAAGGGTCGAGCGTGGACTCTTGTAAAGATTTTAGTATTTCCACCTTTTCTTTTAGAGACATTTCCCTCTCTTCATTTATGGGGTAGCTACCGTTTTGGGATGGGTAGCTATCTTTCTGAGATGTCATCGGGGGTATCTTTTACAGAAATGTTATTGCCATCGTCCTTCTCCTAAAAGTGTTGGGTGTAACCGCTGAAAAACAAGCATAGTCAATCAGTTGCTTAAATCATCAACAAGTTAGTGTGGTGGTTTCCCATTTCCATTTATTTTTTACTCAACCCTCACTATCTGGCTCGATGTTGGAAGAAGATGACTTGGTCTTACTCGGCTTAAAAATAACCAAAGATCCGCAAACGTACAGAGAGGAGTATTTAGAACAGTTAAAAAGACTGGATGCACTTCTCAATCTGCCAACCCCGCCAATTAAGCAGATAAAACCAATGATATTTTTTATCGTCCGACATTCCAGTATCGATCCTGTGAGGAGTGTAAATTTACTAGTTAGTTCACTTGAAATTGTCAAAGACTATAAGACAAGAAGAGTTGTACTGGATGGACTAGTACTTATGAGACAGAAGAAGTGCATGGAGTCCAAGGAGCTGACAAGACTGATAGTGATGTATGGACACGAACTCAACTATTTTGTTCGAAGCATGCAGGAGTTTCTAGATGTGCACTGCTATGCCGTTCTCAGGAATTGGTATAAGAAAGGGACAGAGAAGCAAAAGAGCTTCTGTTATTTTCTTCTTCTTGTTCTTTTTTCAAAGATTCATGATGTGAGTGAGCGCAAGAGGATGCAAAGAGACAGTAGCAAGACTAATCGATACACTGGCATATCAGAGGATGTCAATGGTAGCTCACACATAGAGGAGATAGATAGTAAATGCGATCAAGAGAGCACAAGTACTTCATCATATTGCGAAGATAGGCGACGATGTATCCAACGATACTGTAAGCAATACAAACACACTAGACATGACAAGGTTTGATAATTTTACCAATGTTGTTGATCTAGATGAGCTTGAAAGCTTTATCTGCGAGGCCTTCTTTATTGAGGGGAGACTTAGTAAGATTTGTTGCTTGTACTTTCTAAACAGGACTGAGGTAAAGTTTGATATTTCAAGGATAAGGAGGGGAGAGGAGTATGCAGATAGAATTTTCAAGAGTCTTTCGGATGAAGTAATGGATAGAGACATGAAGCTGATGAAGATTAGAATATTTGTTCTATTTAAACAGCACTTCAAAGTAAGAAAGTCGATTTTGAAGATCGTCATGAGTATGATTGATATAGAAAGGGAAGACCTGAAAGATTTGCTTGACTGTATTGTTACAAGCGTTGAGGAAAATGAAGCGTTAGATGTGCTTGATTCCATAGCAACGCATTTTGTAAACGAGGATCAGCAGGATGAGATTGTTGTGCTAGGAATGAATGTTATGAGGGAGATATACACCAAGTTTTTATCCTGCTACGGAAATAGAGATGGTTGGACTAGTGGCGAAAACGAAGAGATTAATGGCAGTGATTGGAATAAAGAACATAGTGTAATGGAAGAAATGAAAAGGAAAATTCTAAAGCATATTGAGAGTTTCAAGGGAAATAAGACCAAATGCATATTCTATGCGTATAGGATGGTAGTAAGGGCCGTAGTTGACAATGAAATAGTTGAAAGACCCGTGAGCCATATTAAACAGAAGATTGATAAGGAAAAAAGGGAAATAGTAAGAAAGAAGGGAAAGGAGGAGCTACGGCGAAGAAGAGAAGAGGCCAAAAGAGAGGAAAAGAAGGAGAGATACAGAAATAGGAAGAAAGGAAGAAAGAAGAGCGCAATGGCAAAGCTTATGAAAAGACCAAGCAGAAAAAGAAAGACATGCAAATAAAATGAATGAGAGAATGTTCTTCTGTTCTATCTTTGCTAACTTGTTTTGAGTGAGGTTCGGCAACACGTAAAAGCTAACACTTTCTACTTTTGTGTACCTAACATGCGGCCCAAGGGAAGGGGAATTATCTCAGTGGTAGAGAGTAAGATCCGCAATCTTGAGACCCGGGTTCGACTCCCGGATTCTCCAATGCCATTTTCTTCTTTCTCACTCAATCTTAGAGTAGACAATTAGTCTTTCTAATAAACCTAATTAGGCATGCGGGCTGTTTGTGCCCGCAGACCGTTCAATTGCAAGAAAAATCAGATGAAGTCCTGCCCAATGCTACATATTCTTAAATAAATCATTCACTTGCCAAGCAGTTCTTCCACTCAATTTATTAAAATATAATTCAGACATAGGAAATTAAGAACAACATCCTCAGAACATCCAATCAAACACTTGGACTCACACTCTGCCAATATTTTTACAAACTCGCATCTTTGCTTGTCGTTTTCCTTAATTTCAAATATCCTTTCATTCAGCTGGTGAATTAACTGTAAAGCAGAATAGCCTTCAAAAATGAAGCTGTCTATAAAAGCTTCGTAGTTCTTGTCTGTGATTTTCATAAACCCATCCACCACTTCGTCCTTGGCTCGTCCTATGAGGTCCTCGATGTCAAATGTGGCTAAAGGCTTTATGCCTTGAAGAATGTTCAAGCACTTTCTTAGATCTCCATTGCATTTTCTAAAAAGATCCTTGTAAAACGACGGGTCATGGTCCATGCCTTCACTCTTTCCTATTCTTTCCAACGCCCTGCTCTCCTTCAGTGTAAATTTAATCTTAAGAAGCCTAGACTTGAGCGGATCTATTATCCTACTGTAATAGTTTGTGCAGAAAATGAACCGAGTATTGGGAAAGTCCTCGAGAATTCGTCTCAGACAGGTCTGCGAGTCCTTTGTGAGGTTCTCGCACTCATCCAGCAGAATAACCTGTGGCGCAACCGTATTTGCCACTTTCTTTATTTTATTTCTGATTATGTCTATTCCTCTATCATCAGAGGCATTCAGCTCAAGGGTTGGCTTGAGGATTGAGGCAAAGGTGGTTTTGCCAGTCCCTGGAGGGCCATAGAGTAGGAGATGGGGGAATCCGTCCTTCAGAGCATTTTCTAGGAACCTCTTTACATGTGGCGGACAGTCCAACTCATCTGCTGTTTTTGGTACGGTATTTCTCAGTCCATAAACCAGCATCCATTCGGCTAGGGAGTGGAAAAGAGAAGAATCAAATATGCTTGTAATTCCCAGATAAGTGCCCTTGAGCTATTTGCAATTGCACTTACTTCAAGTTTAAATAACAAAATAAACTTATTCAAATATTCTTTATTACCATACCCCAGGTAAATCTTCGTCTGAGTCATCCTTCTCCTTTTCTTCATCAATTGTCAAGTCTCTAATTTCTCTAGAAATACTGTCTATTTTACGTCCACTACTTCTTCCATCCTTTTTGAAATGGGTTTTTGAAGCATTGGCCTTCGAAACGGTCTTCTTTTGTCCCTTGCTGCGAACAAGAAAGTCAGGTATATCGTTCCTGCTTTCCTTGAGAATATCCACTAGTTCACTCTTGATTTCAGGTGCAATATCCCCGCTTATGAAGCTTAAGGCACATCCGCTCCTGCCCTGTCTTCCTGTCCTACCTATTCTATGAATATATTCTTTAATGTCGTTGGGAAAATCATAGTTTATCACTGTTTTAATATCCTGCACGTCTATACCCCTGGCTGCCACTGATGTGGCAACAAGAATGTTAACTTCCCCACGCTTGAATTTATTCAGGGCCGATTGCCTATCAGGCTGAAGTTTGTCCCCATGAAGAGAGACCACGGGATATCCCCAAAGTCTAATCTTTCCCTCTAGCTCATGGGCTGTTACTTTCATCTGCACAAATATAAGAAGCTTGTCTTCTGGATGTGCATTAAAAAGAATTTCCTTTAGCTTCTCATCTTTATTTGTCACTTCAATGAATGTCTGTTTGATATTCTCTACAGTCTCGTTCTGTACTTCTACAAATATTCGGTTCGGAGGAAGAAATTCATTGATAATTCCGCTAAGATTCTTATGGTAAGTAGCAGAAAAGAGAAATGTGGTGGCAGTGCTGGGTATAAACGACTTGATACATCTTATTTCTTTCTCAAACCCCATCTCAAGTAGCTTATCTGCCTCATCAAGTACAAAACTAGTAAGATAGCTAAAATTCACTGCCCGGGAGTTCAATAAATCAAGGAGTCTTCCTGGGGCAGCAATTAAGATGTTCACATGATTGTACGAACCCAGTCTTCTAGACCCGCCGTATACACATTCTACGGTCAATTTCTTGGCTACGCTCTTAGCCTCCTGTCCAATCTGTGCGCATAGTTCTCTAGTCGGCGCCACAACACAGATTTTTAGTCCTTGTGGGTACTTGATATTCTCTATGAGGGGGAGAAGAAAGCACAAAGTCTTCCCTAGACCAGTAGGCGCCCTGCAGAGTAATGAGTGGTTGTTAAGTACAACAGGAATAGCATACTTCTGGATGACTGTGGGAGTACTGAAACTTAAATTGCTGGCGCATTTGAGAGACTCCAAAGTGTCCAGTTTTCCGTAGGGACTGTTTGTTGTTATCTTCAGATTGTCTGATGACTCTGTGAATGGATCTCTCGGTTCCTTTACGCTTGATTTTGTTTTTAAGTGTGGAGCAACATAAACGCTCATTTGCGAGGGCAGCAAAAAACTTTTCATTCATAACCAAAGACTAGTAAAATTTTGTAAAAAAATAGACATAATGTGGAATATTGTGCAAAAAACTGATCCAACATCCTAGTTATGGCGCCAAGATCTAGATATGTAAAAGAACCCCATCAGGTCGAAGCATAGTACATAAGCAGCGTTTTAAAGATTAGTTGGCACTGGCCTTTGTATTGGAAGCATGGGTTTCCCGATAAGTCTGGGCTTGTGATTCACAACAGTAGATAAAAACCTCTAAGAATTGGCAGGCGCTTCTTTGTCTTGAGCCCCAATAGTTGCATGCCGCCAAGCCAACCCTGGTACTAGAATAGCCGGTGTCTTAGCAGTAAACCTATGTACTCATAACTTTTTCCTCACCAGAGGCATTCATCCCATACATGCTAAATATAAACAATTCCATTTAATTAAGCGTCTTTGTGGCATATGAAGACCACCGTATTAAATCCACGCTTAGTTGGATTGGCATCTGCTTATGCTTTGTTCCGTATAATCTCATATAGTCTTTTATAATACCCCCATTTACATAAATACACAGGATCTGCATAGTGTGCCTTACATTCCTCCATTTTTTCAAGTAGATGCTTTGAAAGATCCTCTCCGCTCATTATTCTGTCTTCTAATTCAATGCACTTCTCTAGGAAGTTTGGATCTACGCTTTCCGAAGGAACAGTAAACAATTTAGCTCTAAGAAAATCATCATTCAGTATAGAATATGCCCTATTGAGGATGTGTGAGTCGGCAATGCTAACATTGTTCTTGCCACACAAATCTGGATGGCTTTTTCTGGATGCAGAATAGTAGTTCTTCTTCAAGAGCGTCTTATCTATGCAGAATGATCTGGGAAGATTGAAAAGATCAAAATAGCTTGTATCTAAAGCGCTGCTGTCTGCAGCTTTGCAACTGATTGTGTTGTTTGCATGCATTAGCCCTTCTTTTGTTTTTAATTATGTAGACTTCAATTGGGTATGGCAAAGTGTAAATGAACATGGATAACAGATACAAATAGCATAAAGCAAGGGGAAATCAGCCATAGTTATTTGCGGGCTGCTGAATTTTTGTTTTAAAATTTTTAGCCGTTCGCGATGATTGAAGAGACAAGAAAGTTTGTTAAGTTCAACAGAAAGTTGGCTAGTAGCAGAGCAAATAACATGACCGTAGCCAAACAAGAAGAAGACCTCACAAGTAAGCTTAAGAAGAGAAAAGTTCGTAGCCAAAAGAAGAATGCAAATATAAAAGCGAAGGAAAATGGGACAGAAAAGAGCATAGAAGTCAAGAACAAAGACAAGCCGTATAAACGATCCAATAGCAAATACAGTAAGATTGGAGTAAAAGACTGCAGATCAAATCCAAAATATGAGTACTGTTTAGATGATGCCGATGACAATGAAAAGGAGCTAATACTAAATGGAACAATAAGCGATAGGCTCAACTGTCTTGCACTGCTCTGTGCTAGAAACCCAACAGACAGGAACTACAAGCAGCTTCTTCAGTTCTGTGAGAATCAAAGGAACGATGTTATCTATACCACGCTGAAGCTTATACGGGATCTTATAAAGGAAGAGTGCATTAAAAGAAAGGAATCCAGTACAAATGAGTATGGCGAAGGCAAAGAGTCTAATGTTGGTAGACGCAACAAGACAAATGAGGAAGACATGTGCGGAATATCCTCTTATATAAAAAGCAGGATCATCAAGAGTTTTGACATGGGAGTCAAGAATCAATATATAAAAGACAAAGTTCTGGAAATTATTGGAGTCTTGGCCAGGGCAGGAATCTACGAAGAAGACTTTATTAACATTCTTGTTTCTCGTCTTATTGAGAAGAGCACTACTCTTAAGATCGTTGAAAATGCATTGAAAAGTCTATTTTCAGCACACGAGCAGTTAATTTTTGAGGGAGTTGAGGATTTTTACTACAAAAACGACTCTTTCAGGTGTCAGCACAATGTTCTCAAATTTCTGCAGAATCTGGAATTTAAAAAGGAAAAGGAATTCTTTAGATTCTACGATACAGCGCTGAGTTCCCTGGATGAAGAATATCCCCAGGACCAGAGAGACCTCATGATTGAGCTGTTGGTCAATGGATTGTCCAGAGTGGTCTCTCCCGGCGACAGTGTCACCAGTATAGATCTTGTGCGGGGCTATATCAAGTCTTCAAGATCCATTATTTCAGTTCTCAATCTTCTTATTAAAACCAATGATCCATTTACAGACACTTATGTTTTGAAGGTGTCAAGAACAACCCTCCTTAGAAATACCAAGCACGAGCCCGAATTCCTAAATATGATCTACAAACTAGACAATAGTAATTTATTTGCTAAGCTGGTGGACAATTCGTTTTATTATTCTGTCCAGTCGATCCTTGCTTTGCTGCTAATGGCATACGAGAAGGGAGTGGATGCCAAGACACTCTTCAGCTTGCATCTGCTTGCGCGCCACTACAATCCTGTTGTAAGAGATATGTCCCAAAAGCTGCTCAGGAAGGAGAGGATGCCCATGTTTGACCCATTCGACAGTGTATACGTTGAGGGGCTGGCGAAGACTTTATCAGTGTAGAGCATAAAGCTTGTAGAGTTATTGGAGATTTAGTAAATTCACTGGTTCGCAATCCTTAAATAAACTATTCCTATAATTTAAGAAAACGGAAAAAACAGCATATTTGAGACTAGTTGCATGCCTTGGCTACGCCTTAGTCTGTTGAATGTTTGACAGGCTGGTGGGTTTCTTTGAAACTTAACAAGTAGTATGGTGTCGTTTATTTATTTATATAAATTCTATTGCTTAGTCATTTTCACTACAAATCTTTGAAATGCACACTCTTTGTTCAGCTCCTCTAAAATCATAGCCACAAACTTCTTATCTTCTATGAAGTTAATCATATTTGCTATTTTATACTCAACATGGTCCTCGAGTTTCTTTATTCTTCTCAGCAGCGCTACAAACTGTTTTATTATCACTTTCATATTCTTTATGTCTCCCAGTAATGAATAGTGAACAAAGCTAAGCTCAAGCTCGGCCATTGTGTCGTCGTAGTCATTGTAGAAATCCACTCCACTGGTTGTTATCGAGTTGAATCTGGGATTAATTGTGAACCAGGTCTTCATTCGCTTATGGAAGAAAACTATCTCCTCACCCGAGTATTCGGCAACGAGGAAGTGGGATTTGCTCAGCTGGATCTTCGACAGATTCTTGGTCTTGGGCAGCTTGCCTGTGACGGCCTTGTAGTCAGCGCTGTTTTTGCCACCGTATGCGTCTTTATTTAAATTTCTTCTCTTTGGAGCCAAGCTTTAAAACAGTAAAGTCCCCATACGAGTCAAGAAGGAGAATTTGGTTGTCCAGAATATCAAGATAACTCAGTCTGATGTTTATGAAAGGAAGGAGAAGAAGGCCCGTGGAAAGCTGATAAATTTGGACATGGGATGTGTAGACCACCACATACCTATCGTTAAAACACACCTTATTACAGGGGCCGTTTATTCTGTAGAAGAGCCTTGAGACACGGTAAACACAGACGTCTCCATTCTCTTTTAATTCAATTGTAAAATCATCGAGACTGAGCTTAAATGGATCCGTTTCGATTAACTTAAGCTTATCGGGCTGGTTGGTGTCAAATAAAACCACCGAGCAGTGCCCCTTATTATTGAATATTGGGGTCTGTTTGGGTTTGTCGATCATTACTGGCGATATTCTTTTAGGTTTTGGGACCAAAGCATTTTCAGGAAGAATGCCCTGGCAGCTCTTGCTTACTTTTGTGTTGTTGGGTGTATCGGACGGTTTGTCATCAAGCTTTTGAGGATCATCAGCCAATACTTGTGGCTTGGCACCATTCTTAATTTTCGTTTCCAATGGTGGCTTGGCACCTTTATCGTGCTCTTCCTTGGTATTTATGTCTTCATTCTTTATCTCTGTATTATTACCAGCGCTGCTATTCAAAAGTTCTTCTAGGCCTGTTCCGTTAATACTAAATCCCGATAGCCTCATTATTTCTATTTTCTCGTCAAAATCCAATCTGTCTGCTCTTCTTTCATAGTTCTTTTGCATTTCAATATTCATATCACAGAATGGCATCTCAAATTCCTCCTCGTTCTGGGTCTCATCAATTATTTCTCCTAGTTCTTTTTCTTCAAACTCGACTTTTTTGACTATTCCATCGTATGAGCTTACATAGAGTGTGAGGCCATCCCAGAACATATCCAAAATGGGCATTTCAGTGAAGTTCTTAAGAAGAACGAATGGCTTTGGATTGAGCGTATTCCACAAGCTCAGACTTAGATCCTGCGAGGCGACAGCCAATACGTAGTACTGCTTGATATTTTTCAAGGCATGTGGGCAAAATGCCGTTATTTCACAGGGCGCAACATGGCCAGCAAGAGAAAAGACAGTATTTAGGTCTAAGTCAAGAATATCAACAGTGGGTATTTTGCGGTTAAACTGCAGCCCAACACTGACAAACTTGCTGTTTGGTGAGAATGAGACCTTGCATTGAAGGTTTTCAAGAATAACTCCTCCTTTTTCAATCTTCCTCTTTGCTCTGATGTTGAAGTTTTCATACAGAACAATTAAGTTTTCAGAATAAGTACATAAATATCTGAAGTCCTGGCTTATTCCCAGCCCAAGGATTCCCTCCTCGTGATGCTCCAGCACTCTAAATTCCGAGAAGTCCGAGATTTTTGTTATGTGTACCTGTCCATCCAAATTTGAAGAAATTAGAAAATCAGGAGTCCACTCTAAGTGCGTAACATCACACGGATGCTTGATAATCTTTAATACATCCTTGGCATCCTGTCCAAAAATGAAAATCTTGCCGTCATCTCCTGCGGAGGCTATGAATCTAGAATCCAAGGAGAATCTAACACAGGACACAGCACCCGAGTGTTTCTTCATCGTCTTTATATGGCTATAGCTCAGATCCCACAGCTTCATTTCCCCATTTATGCCACCTGAACAGAAGTATGTTGAACCCTTTGTTATTGAGAATATTGGCTGAAGATGTTTTATTCTGTGTGTTATTGGGACTTCTGAGATTTTCATGAGGAGGAGACAAAAAATGGAAAAAGAGTATGAGGCGTAGAATGACCAAAAGTGTAAGCATAGAACCAACTTTTATGCTCAGAATAGTGCCAGTGTCTGCATCTAGACTATTCCACATAGTTTGTAGCACTGGCACGGTGCTAATAGCTGTCTACATTGCAGCCAAGAGGTTTAGATGCCCAAGATAGTCTTCATATTCACACAGTGTTGAATATTTCAAAGCTGCCGGCTCCATTATAAATATTATATGCGCATCATTCATTTTGCCATAGCTTCAGCAAGCCTCTTCTTTTTCAACATCTACCTGCTTTATCAATGAGTACTTTATTAAGTGCCCAGCAATAGGTGATAGGACAATTGCCATACCGTAACTAAAATAGAAGAAATAAGGTTTCTGAGCAGTTTATGCTTATCGCATAAAATGACCAAGAAGATTAGGATTCTCAAAGACACAACATATTACTCTTTAATAAAGGAAGCAATATACAGTACAGGGGACAGAATGGCCACCTCCAGCAATATCTTCAGCTACTTGAGTACCAGACACCCGCTACTCTTTACTTCTCTAAATTCTAAGACTTGGAAAGGAAACATTAGACATGTTCTGTCTAAGAATCCAGAGTTTGTAAAAATAAAGAAGAAGGGCAACGAGAAGGAGCATTACTGGACACATGCCCCACCAGAAGGCATCGAGGAATGTAGAATAAATGCAAATGATAGATTGGGCATTGGACTGCTTGGAGAATTGCCAGTTAACAAAGTGAGGGAAAAGAGACGGAATATTGTACCTTTCAAAGAACAAGCAAATGAAAGTGCAAGAGAGAATATTGATCAAGCATTCGCTGATTCATTGAGAGAGATGTTTGTGTTCGAAAATAAACAGGTCTTTAAACAAGCCTTTAAGGAAGAGGACGATGGCGACTGGTTTTGGGATTTTGAAAATTCAAAGAAATGCAAAAGGGTAGAATAAGAAAAGAGCCTACAGCATTTTGTATGCTAAGGTCCAGCAAACCAAGAGTAGTGCGCCATAGAAAAGGCATGTTTGCCGGGACTATTATTGCCTCTAGGCAGACCTCTTTAAGCAATGCTAGCAAAAGATACAAGCCGATCAACAAATACAACACATAAGACACATGATGGACTAGACAATTACTTTATTTAATTCTTTCTGGTGACTTCAGGAAGAGAGAACTGTCTGCTTCCCCCTGACTGGATTACATAGTTCTTGAGAAGACTGGACAACTCAGAATCAGAGGTGATGGCAGAGTTAATGTGTCTAGGTGACATCTTCTTCTTGCCTTCGTTGACACAACAGCTCTTTCCTCCATCGAGGATTTCGAGAAGAATGTAAGTGATGGCGGAGGACACTGCCCTCAGTGTGTCTTTGCTGACTCTCATCTTAGTAAGCACCTTTACTATTCTTTTTATGTGGGCTGGCTTGAATGTCGACACATCTCTGTCATCTGCCTTTTTCTCCTTTGGGTCTTGTTTACCGCTCTTGCCTGGCATTGGGGGTCAAAGAATTTTCAAATTTATAGAGTTTTTTGGAGGGAATGGGGATTCCACCTTGTTTTCCCTCCAAAACTTATGAAGGACCATTGACGACAGACAGTCTTGGGGCATGCATTTGTTGATAGGACGACGAGCTGTCCTGGCCAGCTGCAATATGACCGAGAACAAAACAGCTTCTGCGGTCCCTGGCTGTATTTCCCCCAAATTTTGAAAGGCTCAAGTGCAGCAAGCTATTGGATCACTTAGATGATAGAACTGGCTGAAAACAGAAAGCATAAACTTTGTGTTGAAGAACAAACGTATGGACGACAAGGAATGGCCTATTTCCGATCAATGTTCTGCTGATTCATTTAAAAAGTATTTATTTGTCTTGTTCTAAATTTTTAATAAAATCCATACTTTGAATTTCCTTTTTCTTTTTTGAATTTATTTCAATCTTCATTTCTGGCAGCTTTCCCTCCCACGAATTCACAAAATTGAGGAAATCTCCAATTGGCTCACCCACGAATATCTTCTTAGATGAGCTAGGATTGATAGAAACATCAACAGCAATATAAAACAAAGTAAAATACTCCTCTATTTTATTACTAATGCCACTGCTTTTACTGCCGGTGCTCGCAGCGCCACCAATATTGTCAGTGTTGCTTGCCTTACAACTGCGTCCTGTAAATGCCTTGGGAAAGGGCGCTGCCAACGAGATATTCTCTAAATTCTCAAGCTTAGTACACAGAATCCTTATCTTGGATTGGATATATCCTTCCCAGATATTAAATGCCTGCAAATCTTCCGAGTTGATGCGCACCTCGATAAACATTTTGTGCTTTTTGAAAAAGCCTGAAACTTCAAACAGCTTTGAAAAAGGCGCCTTGGATCTCATCAATTCATTTCCACGTGCAAGCTCCGAACAGATAAGAATGAAGGTGCTCTGAGTAACATTGTGTGTGGAGTTGATGGATGGATAGACCGGGGTTATCACCGGCATTTTATGATACTTATCAGCGGGATACACCTTAGGATCCCACACCTTAAGATTATAGTTGTGATCCACGATGGAGCAGAGCTGCACAGGCGTAGGCCATTTCCAGGAGGAATACGTCTCAAAGAACTTGCAGACAATGTCATAGGCGCAGAGATTGGGATACATCTGGCAGATTCTGGCAACGCAGATTGAGAAGGTCACTCCTCCAAAATAGCCGTATGCATTGCCATATATGTATCGCCTTTTGGCCCAGAACTTTATGGCCCGGAGAGCCGAATGAAAGACATCCACCCGGGGGATTAAGCGGAGTATGGCATCAGTGACTCTGGAGCCATTTAAACTCAAAATGCATTTTTCATCCATGGACCTGAGGATAGTGTCATTGAGGAGACTAATATTTTCAGCTATAACAGGAAGGTTCAGCCTGGCAAATGTAAGGTCAATTGGAATGCCGTCGTACGTCAAACTAATTATGGGAACATAGGCATCCTCTATCTTGCTGATTTCTTTTACATTTTCATCCTGGCCTAGCTCCTCGTAGAATATTGTAAAGAAGTCCTTTCTTGAAACATGGCGGGGAACAACACATAGAACATCAATGTCCGCCCCTCTGTCGTGCACACCCAGTCTGTACGAGCCAAATGTAAATATCTTTCCGCCATAGTTCTTCTGCTCTCCTTCGGGCGCTGTCTTTTCTACAAATTTTTTAACAAGAAAATCAAGTCTGCCCAAGACTCTTTCCCTTGTCTGTCCTGCATCCTCCGATTCAAAGAAATTAGACTCTCTGAGATACTTGTCCATCTGGTTGGCCAGTTGTGTTGATTCCTGGGTACTCTCTTTGAGGGAGGCTGGGCCTGTGATCCCATACTTGGGGTTGGCAGAGTTCATTTGTCATGGGTCAAATGCATAAAATTTAAAAGGCTGTTAGTGAAAATCTGAGTTTATAGTAAGGCTGGACTTAAGATAGGAACCCAGCCACACGTCGTGCACAAGGGCTTGAAATCTTGATCTGCATCCCAGCTAGTTGCGATGCCAGACCGTATTTACATGTCACATCATCTTTGCTATATTGAGATGTTTAGGATTGTTTCAGGCATCTTTTTATAATAAAATACACAAACATCTGATGACAGAAAAGCTTGTTTTTGAAATTTCAATACCATCAACCAGGAAAGTAAAGGGGCATACAGAGTACCAGTTTATTCTGATAACAAATATGCCCGAGCTATCGTCTGCATACACAAGGACTTATAAGCGATACTCTGAGATTTTGAAGCTTCATGAAAAAATTTCCAGAGCTTTTCCAAAGCTGCCTGAATTTCCGGGGAAGAGATGGTTTGGAAAGACGGATCCAGTGCTTATTGAAAATAGAAGAAAGCTGTTTGAAGCATATTTTAACTACATTTTTGAGTTTATTGCCAAGAATAATTTGGGAGGTGAATGTTTCGCTAAGGAAGTTTTTACTTTTTTTAATAAATGAAATGATAATAATGAGCATGTAATTATCGATAAAACACAAAACATTAGACATTTTGTCCATCCAAAAGCATGAGCATAGAGCATGTTGTCTGTTCTTAAACAAGGCGTCACCGTAATCAAACTGCCATGCAGTATAACGATGTTTAAGTCAGCAAGCATAGTTTCCTAGTTGATAAAATAATTTAATGATAGCTATCCAACACAACACATTCCAAACACATAGCTAACAAATGTCACTGCAACAGAAATCGCAAAGACGATTAGAAGTTCGGAGCAGTAGGAGTCGTCAAACGATGCTTCAGATGAGTAAAAACACTCAGTAGCGAGATAAATCAGCAAGAGGACTCCTGCAATAACACTAACTAGCAGTCCTATGAAATAGAGAAAGAGGAAAACAATCCTGAATATGAAAAATGCAGCTGTTTTGAACCAGTTCTTTTCAGATGTGTTTTGATTCATGACACAGCTGTGGCTGGAAGTGTCTGCATGCATGCCAGCTGGTGAGTGTCCGCCGTAGCCATGGGCTTGGTGCATGTAGTAGGTGCCGTTGGTCGTGTGTATTGGTGTGTTTCCGCAGTATTGCATTTTGGGGTGTCAAAGTTCTGGGAAAATAAGTTTCTCTGAAAAAACAAAAATCGTTTGAAAATTTTGAATTTTTAATTCAAAAGAAATTTCAACGGCACACAATGGTGCCACAAGAAGTATTTCTAAAGTGTGTTTGGGCAGTGCTGCAGTGTAGTGGCGCATCCAAGCCGCCACATGCGTCAACTTCAATATATGTTTTACACGAATATTAGACTAACTATCAGTTCGCACAAGCTCAACAATAATCACCAAATATGTAGCTGACCAAGGCTGCTGCAGAGGATATTGCAAATGTAGCTGGGATTTGAGAATATTTCGGATTGCCTAGCATTGCAGTGAGCGAGTATCCTAGTTGAATGAATAGAACAAAGGATAAAATGCCAAAAACAACACTGGCCAGCAATCCAATAAGATAAATGCACAAAAACATGGTGTTAAATACTGCTTCTGCAAGTTTTTTAAATCTATTTTCCTCAAGCTTATGGTGTTGTAAAATATTCTGATTGTTGATATCGTGTGAAGAAGAACACAGCCCCGGAGAATAAGCCTGTGGATATCCATTGGTGCTGTGAAGATGACCCACGAAAGCTTTGTAGTCTAGATTTGGGTCGTCACGGGTGAAGCCTACAGGAGGAGCTTCATGTTGATACATCAGGGTAAATCAGAAGCCTACAATAAGCAGATTTGTGCCCAAAGATTAATAGCCAGGCTGTGCTAAAAAGACAGCTGTTCCTAACGATGCATTTTTTATTTATTTTGCTATTTTATGAAAGCCGATAGCACAGGTGGACCGAATGATTCTGCACTTGTTTCCCAAGCAAGCCATTTTAAAATAAATATACCAGTACAATCAGGCAGTATCGTATAGCCTACTGTTGCGGTTCATTAGTTTGAAATATATAGTCTAAGAATACTGTAGTGTGGCAAAATGCAGATGCTAGTTTATTTAGTCTTTCCTTCTACCTGTTCTAAAATTTTTCTTAAAAATTTTTACCACCGTGAAATGCGCAAAGCAAATGCTATAAAAACAACGAAATTATATTTTACAATTTTGCTAGCAATGCAGTCTGTACTTACTCGCGACGTAGCTGCAACAAGAGATCTCGAGATACCCACATATAGTGAGCATTACACCTCAGACTATCTGTTCTCCAAGCAACAGGCATTTGTTCAGCAGGCTCAACAAGAGAATAACGACTCAGGCTATTCTGAGAATGAGGAAGAAAGAAGTGATGATTTAATGAAAATTGATAGGACCCAGGCAGATATCGAGCAAAATTCAGAAGAATTCGCACAACCAGATCGAACCAATACTTATCAAAGATACGGCGGTGAGCATCCGATTAAAAGGCCTGTCTCTTCCGTGATATTTGACTTTTCTTCTCTAGTACCATACTTACTTATTGTATTGGGTGTCGTAGCCAGGTTTGATACAATAGACATTCCTGACTTGGCAAAAAACCCGTTTTTGATTGTTTCCTTTTATATGCTTGTTTCGAGCTGCTTGGCAACGCTTCTGCCACCTCTGAAAAGAATTCATGGTATTTTTCTTCCTGTATACATCAACTTCTCAATTCTCGCAATCGGATACTCCATGTTCTACTTTCTTGTGCACAATATTAATGCTTTTCTTTCCGATCTTCAGTCTGAAAAATATATGGACCAGTTTTCCAAGTTCCTTGGCTACTTCAATACTTCTGATAAAGATGCAATATTACACTCTACCCACGAAGCCCTGGAAAATATAAAGAGCATTACTGAATCAATATATTTCCAGATAGGAATAATTGTTCTAATTGCCATTTTTACTTTCTTTACACTTTGCTATTTTCTTTCGTTTAGATTTTCATTAGAAAAACTGTCCCTAGTTCAGATACCCTTACTATTGGGTCTGTCAGTATATTACACATATGAAATTTCAAAGCTGATTTCACAATGCGATTCATGGTATTGTCTTCCATTCAAGGCTCTGAGGAATGTCAACTCTTTGATTAATAATTCATGGTTAAGCAGGTTTGTTAATGAAACTGTGAAAATGGCATGCGAATATGTATTCTGGTGGATGCCCTTTCTTACCGTTCTCGTGGGGGTCTTGTGGATTGTATTTATGATTGATATGGCTATATGGAACACGGTAGGCGACCGTTTTTCAACGAATTCCGATTATTTTGGCATGGAGACAATGATGCTAAGAAATGATTTTAAGTTTGCTGGCCTCCAAGACAGCAAGTATGGTAGCAACGAAAGTTTTATTCCCATTGAGAATGAACCAATGGATAAGTATTGATCTCAATTGCAGATAAAGGAATGCATTTAAACGGTATTTTCTTTATTATGAGGTATACTAAGATGCGTGCCAGACATAATCAAAGTTTTGAAAAGAGAGCAGTCTTTATAAACCACTTGGACAAGGCATCGCTAGGTTCTTAGACAGAAAGTATCTAAGTAAAATGCATAGTGTGGCCATCGTTTTTTATTCGTTTTTGCTGTTGCCATCCCACTATTTTGTATTTGTCTTTTTAATGTACACAGATCGATCCCTAAAAGCTTGTTAGAGCGTTTTTATTAATATTTAAAATAAACATCACTATGTTATCATTAGTTGATTCGGTGATACTCTCAAGTCATTTTTGCTCATCCGGCCTAGGCCCTTTCTTTGTTAAAGTAACCGTTAAATCCATTTTTGTTGTTAAAAATAATATATAGCATATGTAGATGATGCTCAAGCATGTAGTATTTAATCAATGGTTTATTATTCTTGGAGCTTCTCTCTGTACTATGTCTAATGTGATGATGCTGAGCCATCATGTGCCAATTTTATGAGTCAGAAACATAATACGATTACACCGATTGAAAGGAGATACTTGCACTACCGAGGCCATCCTAAATGTTTCTAAAGCGAATACAAGAGTCAGACACGTCGCCAGCACTATTTATATTGCCAGCTGTCTGTAGGAGCCTTGCACCATGCGGCTGGACTCAACAAGGAGCAGCACATTTGCATAGAAACTAATTATGGTGAAGATATGAAGTTGATTGTGATTTAGCAATGAAATGTATCGCACAATGGGATCTTTGGTCCGAGACACAAAGCTAGCAGGTTAGATGTAGCGAGAGCAGATGGCTGTTTAGCTCAGGAGATGAAGATGTAATAGGCAGTGAACCACACATCTTAATGTTAACAGATGAGCCATGTAATGCGGGAGAATACAGCATTTATATGTTAGAAGTAACAAGCTGGAATCATTCTAGACAGTATTGAGATTATTTTTGAGAAGCCAAAAAGCTTGCTGGTAGTCACAAGGACACCACTGTGCGGAGGTAGAACAAGAGTAGAGTGAACTCATAGCGAATGATGGGAATGAATAGAATCACACATCGTCATTAGAGTTGGGGAGTCCCAAGTAGATCAAGGATCTACTGCTGCGTAAGACAGCAAACTGGTGGAAATATTGAGAAAAGAGCAGAATACAAGCATTGGGGGCTGCTGGTGATGCTTTCCTATACATGTTGGGGCTCTGGAATGGATGAGTGGTATGCATAATTAATGTCAATATGTACAAGTGTGTAGTCTATCGTTGGTGAAGATTATTTCCGAACAATTCCGATTTTTCTGAAATTTTTATCAATTTTTTTACTTTTTCTAGATAAATTTTGTTTGTATTTTTCCACCTCATAAAAGATGTCTACTTTAGCCACTACAGATAGATTCTTAGTTGATATAGAGCTCGGTACACAGAATGCAACTGCTGAGCAAGCAAGCATTGTTGGAAGACTCAAACGAGCCAAGCGAGCAAGTGTCGTTGAACGACTCAAGCATCTTCTCAGTACTTCATATGCTGTGATCAAGAAAGCACTGGCCAGTGAGTTTGCAAAGTATCTAGCTCTGCAGATGATTATTTTTGGATCTGCACTTGCATACCACTGCATTGGGCTGTGGTGGTTCTACCCAGAGAATACCAAGATAGTAGTAAACACCGCTACGCCCACCACCTTCTGCTTCGTAGATGTGGACTATTGGTCACCAATGATCTTGTACATTGCTATTGGGTATGGCACTATTTTAGTACAACCGATAGTGTTATTTTTCCTTGCAGTACTGGATGTGGCATCTGAGTACACACCTGATCACTATAAAGTTTCGCATATATATTCGAAAAGAAAAAGGGTTTTCTGGGGAGCGATGGGTTTATTGCTGTTAGTAACATATGCTGTAGCACCTGAATTATTTTTCCTTATAGGTTGCGCTATAATCTCATACGGCATTGTCAAGCTTGTTTCCTTCATCACCTCAAAGGTATCAACAACTCGTCTTATAATTTTTGGCAACTGTCTTGTCGCTGCAGTGGCTCTCTTGCGAGCATATTTCACACCCTATCTTCTGGGAGGCACTCCCATTACTGAATACTTCCAAAGGAATAGAATGGATATTTCTCAATACGAAAAGTTTTTTGCCGAGTTCGATGTTGACATTTCAAGAGTGTTTGTTGTAGGTGGTATGTATTCTGACAATGCAGCCAGCAATACTGTTCCATTCAAATCTATTATGAGCATCATGATTGGCAAGGATACGATCCAGAACAACAGCTTTGAAGCAGTCAAGGCTTTGCTGTTGCACGAGATAGGACATGCAAGACACTTTGATCTTTTATCCATCTTTGTTGCACCCTACATTATTGCATCCCTAGCAATGTGCTTTCTGGTGAAGAGGATTG